TAGGATAGGTGATGGTAGAATTCCTTATTCTAACCAGCTGCCTAGATGACACTAAGACACACTAGATATAGAACTCTTTGCCCCTCACTCCTGGTACCCAGTTTCCTATTGCCATGCCTTCCAGCACATCTGCTAATCCAGATGTCCCATTTCACTCCCTGCCAGATCCCTGATGCCCATCTCCGTGGTTATGCTTTGTGGCCAGAGCAGGGTCCCCCGCAGCTGATCCAGCCAGATGGGCCTGGGGTCCAAAATACTGATTTTCTCCTGTATGTGCGGGTTGCCTACACTTCCAAGTGCCACCAAGAGGTGAGGTTCAAATCAAATCCCTTTCCCCTACTCTGTCTCTCTTAATCTTAAAAGCAGGGCGAGGCGAGTAAAAGCAGTTTTTATTAAATTGTGCTTATTTGGCGTAACTTTGGACATGCTGATGAAGTTTGTTGAGTGAGGGTTAAAAACTCTCTAAAGTTTATACCATCCCTTGGTAACACTGAACCTCCCTTTTTTAGAAAGATTTCTTCTGTGTTATCCCACTTCTCTCCTTTCTGCTCATACATCGTCCTGACTCATCCATCCACAGCCCTCTGTCATTGCCTATGCTGCCTGCTGCCAACTGGACTCAGAAGACAGACCCCTTGCTGGTACCATTGTCTACTGTGCCCAACATCTCACCAGCCCCAGCCTCAGCCATAGTGACATCGTCATGGTGACTGTTGTATACTGACAGGTTGGGTGAGGTGGGGCAGGTCATTCAGCTTCCCATGAAGTTGAAGAATCTAGTAAGGATGGAATAGGCTCTCACTCTCCCCAGAGAACACTACCCATTCCTTTCCCTTGTTTTCCCTTCCCTTCCTTTTCCTTCCCTTCCTTTTCATTTCTTTCCATTCCTTTCCCTTCCCTTCCCTTCCTTTCCTTCTCACCATCCCACCCAAGGCACGTTACCATTAGCTTCCTCATTCCCAAGTCCAAGGATCCTTTCATTATTTCAATAACTTGTTTCCTAAACCCATTTCTTTCTAGGAATTACTTCTAACTCTGATTTACCAAACAAACATTCTCTTACAGAAAAAAAAAAGGGGGTGGGGAGAGGAAGGGGGATGGAATAGAAGGTGTCTCAATTTCTAAGAAGTGATGGGGCAGAGGAGCTATAGAGTGGCTGACTAATCTTTTTGCAAACCCTGGTCCCTCACGCTGCTGTCATTTGTCCTTAGGCCACACTACACGAATTGCTCCATGCCCTAGGTTTCTCTGGACAACTCTTCAAGAAGTGGCGGGATTGCCCCTCAGGACTCAGCGGTAAACAAGAGGAATGAGGAAGAGGTTTTCCCACAATGTCAACTACAAAGAACTACTACTATCTCATGAACTTCTTCCTTCCAATTCTACCTCACCTTTCCTCATAGTGCCTTCTCCCCTTTCTGTACTCAGTTGGAGAGAACTGTTCTACAAGGCAACAGGTGACAAGGCGAGATGAGTGGGGACAACTGCTTCTCACCACCCCAACTGTTAGCCACAGCCTGGCCAAACACTTGGGAGTGCTAACGGTTTCCCTGGGTGCCCCCTTGGAAGAGGAGGTAAGAGTAACGACACCTTGGGGTGATGGAAGGAAGAGGGAGTAGCCAGGTAGCAACCAGCTACCTCCGCCAGTAGGGCCCTTTGTCTTCACACTGGGAGGCCCGACTACTCCAAGGCTCTATCATGACCGCTGTCTTCGATGGTGCCCAGCGCACTCGACTAGACCCAATCACGCTTGCTGCTTTCAAAGACTCAGGCTGGTACCAAGTCAACCACAGTGCTGCAGAGGAGCTGTTGTGGGGCCATGGTGAGAAATCAGGGAGCATCGCAGAGGGCACACATGACCGAAGTCAGCTTGGGGGAAGCGAGAGAGGCTGGAGGGAATATCTGCTGTTGAGATGTAATGGAGGCTGTAAGCATAGCAAGCACTGGAGGGATGCTTGGGTCTTCATTCGTTTCGAATGCTCTTTCTCCCTATCTCTCTAACAGGATCTGGCCTGGAATTTGGCCTGGTGAACACATGTGGGACTGGCTCCTCAGACTTCTTCTGCACTGGCAGGTGTGTGTGCTGAGCGGTGGAGGGGCTGTGCAGCTGTGGGTGATCCAAGTGTCACTCTCCCATCTATCCCATCCAGTGGACTGGGCTGCCACTACCTGCACTTGGACAAGGGAAGCTGCTCTTCAGACCCTGTGCTGGAAGGCTGCCGCATGTACAAGCCCTTGGCCAACCGGGTGAGTAGATTAGGAAACAGTGAAACTGAGTGGGCCTAGAGAGGAGTCAACTTCAAAGACATCGAGACAAACACTATTCTACCTTCTGCCCTGCTCTTCAGAGTGAATGCTGGAAAAAGGAAAACGGATTCCCACCTGGGGCAGAGAATCCGCATGGGGAGATCTTCCATTCCCAGAGTCGTTGCTTCCTTTCCAACCTCACATCACAGCTGCTCCCTGGGGACAAGGTCAGCCATCCCTCTCAGATCCCACACCTGGAGGAAGAGGAGCTCACTGGCCGCTGCTACTTACATCACTGCACAGAGCGGGGAGCCTACAAGGTGCAGGTGGAGGGATCCCCCTGGGTTTCATGCCCTCCAGGAAGGGCTATTCAGGTGGGTGTCATAGATGAAAAGGCTGTAACACACTGGCAAAAAGACATCTGGAAATGTTTGTTCAGTGCTATAACCAAACTGTTCTTTGTTCGTTTTTTACTAAGAAGCCACTGAGCCCAAGATTCTGATCTAGACTGTACATTTTTCTTAGGAGGATTTGTGCAAGTAAGTCACGGACTATAACCTGCTACATGTTTCCCTGTAGATACCTGGGTACTATGGTCTTCTCTTCTGCCCCCGGGGTCGGCTGTGTCAGACTAATGAAGCTACAGATGCTGCTACTTCCCCACCTATGAGTCTTTCAACCCAAGACCTGTTATTCAGGCTGTCTTTCGGATTAGCTGGGCCCCCAGGCCATTCCCTAGAGAAGAAAGAAGAGTTGGTTGAAGCTATCTTACAGGCTCTGGTGAGCAGAGGAGGCACTGGAAGGTAAAAAGGGGCAATTCAGGCTGATTTCTATGATGGGCTGTAGAGAATGCTTAAGTCCTTTACTTCACAACTGTCTTGTGGAGATTTTCTGTTCATCCCACTCCTAAACCTGCACGTTTCATGCGATATAGCCTTCCAAGGACTATTGCTCCATTAATAGATCCAAATGTCTATTTAGGTGCTATTTCCACAGCCCTTCAATTACCACTAATCTGGTGTTCACTGTGCATATGTGGAAGTCCCCTGGTTGCCAAGGGCCTTCGGTTGGTATGCTGCACAGGGCCCTGACCCTGACTCTCCAGAAGAAGCCTCTAGAAGTATATTATAGAGGAGCCAACTTTACCACAGAATATAGCAAGTAAGACAACATTGCAAGTAGATTCCACCCCCCTCCCCCCAATTCCTAGTCCAGATGTTTGAAATTGTATTTATTAAGCACCTACTCATGTGTACATATGAGTTTAGACAGGGTTATTTCAGGAAATAATCCCTGACATGATTATCTCAGGCCTATTATTATAGAGCATTTAAAACAAATGAAGCCCCTCCCATCTCTAGGATATAGGGATCCTACCCCCTCCCTTTTTTAAGTATTATCCAGGCACCATGTCTAATTACCTAAACACCAGTTTAGCCAGGGTTCCCCTTAAGCTACTTCCCTCACTGTCAAGTTAAGTTTCCTTCCAACAATCTTAAGATGCTGAAGACGGATATTCGTCATATTCCTATTTTCAGGTTCTATAGTCATTCTTATTTTGTTTAGATAAAGCAGGGTTTTATGAGCTCTATGTATGATAATAAAGGTAAAGCCCTTCTCCTCCTAAGCCATTATTCCAAGTCAAATATTACTTCTATCTTCCTAGGTTCCTGGTTACCTCTGGTCATAATTCCTCCATGGCCCATCTAGGTCTGTCAATAGTGCTCTGCCTAATACTGCTTATCCTGGTGGGTGCACTGGGAACCCTGGCCTATCAGAAACGAGCTACTCTTCAGGTGGGACCATCTGCCTCTTACCATTCATCAGAGCTCCGAAGCACAAGGGGCTCAGCTGGAGGAATAATGGAGGTGTGATGTTACCCATAGCATGGTGGGAGCATTACTTGAAAGACAACTGGATGGGAATTAATCTACTATCTACACTTAAGTTCTACTTTTCTCAGAATGCCTCTTTTCATACTGGGTTTGCAATGAAAAAAAAAGGTAGAGACTTATGATTCCAAAGGTTCATTCTTTATTTTGATACAAAACAAAAAACAAAAAACATTTCAACCTCTAAAGAATGTCACTTTTTTTTTCATATTGCTACAGAGCAAATTTACAGAATATCTTCTAACAGCTCCAAGGATATCACATATGCTTTTGGAAAAAGTCATTACTTTTAGGATTCAAACACACATCAGTGTGGAGGAAGGAATAACTAATTATTTCCCTCTTCTGATTTTTCCATAATTTTTTCTAAATCATCACAGGAAAGTTAGTGGTTAGGATGTCACATAATTGTGCCTGAATCTGCTAAGGGAGGTGAAACCAGACATCTGAATCCAGCTAAATACAAAAACGGGACCTTTTATTGCACTTCTCTCTGGCTTTTGGAATAGGAAGGTTCTACTTTATATCCCCATGGGCCAGCAGTAGGCTTGAATTATTTGTAGGTGCTGTTTGGTTATAGTTGCAAAAGCCATTAAATTCTTGAAGGTTTGACATCTCCTGGAAAGAAATAAGCTAGAGGCAGACTACTACTCTGGATCTGCTTAGCTGGAAAACATTTACACTAGCAGTCGAGCGGATGTGCTGTAAACATTGCAATAACCAGGCCTGTACTAGTCAGCAAGCTCAGTCAGTGAATCAGGTTACCATCCCGACCTTTAAGTGGCACATCTGAAGTTCTCACTGTAGAGTTGTAGTTTCAGCTCCATCAACTATGGTTCTCTTCTCTGATTTTAATGCCCATCAGTCTTTACCAGCTGTAGCAGCCACTGCTTGGTAAAACTTTGCCACGAAGTCTGGCTCACTGACCTCCAGCTGCCTGACAAATTCATTGCGCTCCTCCTCAGCCCAACCTCGAAACCACTGATCCCAAAGACGTAGCTGGCACTCAAAGATACAAGGTGGACGGTCGGCTCCAGACACACTAAGCTGCTCCAGACCTTCTAGCAATGGCTGTAGTTTTCCTGGCACTGCTTTAGTTACCAGGTCTTGTAGGAAACGTTCACGCTGGGGACCTGACCAACTGGCAAACCAGTGAAGAATACACTTCATTTCCTGGGAAGTGATGTAAGACATTGGGGGAAGGAAAGAGTTAACAGAATTGTCTGGCACTGAGGGTAAAAGAGAAGGGAAGGACAGCTGCACCGAAGATGAAGATGATTCCAGTGGCATCCTGAAACATAAAAGCAGTTAGATACTCTTTAGATAGATCAACTAAAATATAACTTCCCAACAATAAGGAACATTATCATTCAATCAGCATCTAAAAAGAACATTACTTTGCTTGGCCCACTTGGCCAAGGTTGCGGGCTCAAACCCCCGTATGGGGCGTGCAGGAGGAAGCCAATCAGTGATTCTCTCTTATCATTGATGTTTCTCTCTCTCTCTCTCCCCCTCTATTCCTCTCTGAAATCAGTAAAATATATTTTTTAAAAAGATAATTACCAATTCAATTTACCAGAAAACAGGGTCCTTTATTTCAGTTGTTATCCAACTACTTTAGAGAAATCATTCAAGAATAACTTCATTTTATATTTGCCAACCTTTCTCTCTTTTTCAAACCTATTACTTTCTCTAACCACTATTTTCCTCCATCATTCTTCTAATCTAAAAATAACCAACACTTTTTCAAGTGACCAAAAAAAAATTTTTTTAATGTATTTTTATTGATTTCAAAGAGGAAAGGAGATTGAACTCACAAACTGGACATATGCCCTGACCCGGAATCAAAGCATGACCTCCTGATTCATAGGTCAATGCTCAACCACTGAGCCATAGTGGCTAGGCAAGTGACCAAAATTTTTGGACTACACTCTATTTTATGCATAAGCATGATTTCCTCTGTTTATTAAGACTATAGCAATGGGGGGGGGGGGGGAATAAAAGGAAAAAAAAAGCAGTCTTGTACAGAACTGTGAAAGTGCCAATGGTGAGGATAGTTTACACTGCAGGATAAATATGTATTTTCTCAAAAAAAAAACCCTCTTTCCCTTTGGCCATATTAACTCTCAGTTTAGATAATTAAAAACCACTTCTTCACTTTTCCAAGATGCTTGATGCTATCATGATCAACATTTGGCCATTTTCCCTAAATGACATCAATTATGTCATCTGTAAAGTCTCCTTGAATGATGATTTCATCCTCTTGTTACTTTGGCACCACAGGAGAATTTTTCAGGGAAAAAGATATTTGTGCTTCTTTAAGATCAATTTCCAATTTGCAAGACCAAATACTCTTGTTACATACATCTTTGCTCTGGGGATTGTGGCTATGGTAACCTTTTGTGCCAGTCTTCTGTTTTGTTTGACCTCTTCCACCTCTCTTTTTTCTTCTTCTTCTTCTTCTCTTCCTCTTTCCCTGCTGTTCTTTGACCCTCAATAATTCCAGTTTCTCCAATACATTTCTTGCTCATTTTCTCCTGCCTATTCCTATGTTTCATGTTGAGTAAAGGGAAGAAAACCCACAATTATTAATGTTGGTCTATCACATCTTCCCTAAGTGAAAAAAAAGGAACCCATTTTTTAAATCAAGTACATGCTGCTGGTCAGGGAGGACCTTGATATTAATTATTCCAGCAATATCAACAGTGAAGAGGAAATAAAACCATTATATAATATCTATCTATCTATCTATATAAAAGGCTAAGCCAGTAGGTATGACACACACTGACCACCAGGGGGCAGATGCTCCACTCAGAAGCTGCCAAGCTGTGGTCACTTGACAACAGCAGTTCTCTGGTTATGCACCCTGGAACCAGAAAGGAAGGAACCCTATTCTGGATGTGTCACCCAAGAACTGCCCTCTCACAATCCAGGAGCCCTGGGGCCAAGGGACTCCACTTGCCACAGGGACCCCACCCACTCCACAGATACCCTTCAAACCAATGTGCTGCCCCATCTGAGGAGGGACTGAGGGAGGCTGGCTCCAGGGTGTGTCCAGCCAATCCTGCCCTGCCAGGCACATTCTAATTGCACAAATCCGTGCACAGGGCACTAGTGTGCATGTAGTAAAATAGCAGTATATATAAACACCTCCTTTGCAAAGTGTGTATTACTTCTAAAATATGCCAAGAATTTCATAACATCCATTACTTATACTCCCTGTAAAGCACCAAGAAAAAAATTACACAGCATAATAAGTGATGGGCGCCTGGCCCAAAATAAGATAACAGAATAAGAAAAACAAGAAAATAATCTGTTTATATAAGACTGAAAAAAAGCCTAGTTGGTTTGGTGGCTTAGGGATCTAACAATGTTACTACACTGCTGTAGATGATAATTCATGTCTTTGAAATTTTTTCCTTAATGTTTAATATACTACCTATTGAGCCCTGGGGAGGTGGCTCAGTTGGTTGTAGTGTCCTCCCATGGCAGATTCGATTCCTGGTCACAAGTTTGGGAAACAACCAATCTGATGTTTCTCTCTGTCTTTCTCTCCCTTTCTCTAAAATCAAATTTTAAAAAGTTAATATAATACCTGTTGATGCCCTGACATTGATTTGCATCACTAATGCAACTATAAGATCAGCCAACTTGAATAGTTTTCATAATTGGATCTCCAACAATGAAAACCTTAAAATACTATTGTATATGAACTATTTTACTGTTTGTGTTTCTTCTACTGCAAATTGGATTGTTTGCAGTAAGAAAGGAACCCCCAAGCAATAGCATCAGTTCAGTACCAAAACAGTCCTGGGAGAAGATGTCTTTTTTCAGTGGCCTTAACAGGAAGCAATTCCTCAGAAAGGAACCTGAATCGCCTTTTCGGGGAAAGTGAGAAACTTTTCCCAAGTCTTGATTCATGGCTTCCATGGCAAACTCAAGTTCAGTGATCACGAATTAGTTCAATCTGAGTCCGAAGACACGGTGCTGCCACTTGCCCACTTTGGAGGCCACCAAGCCTGGCATTTCGAAGTATGAAAGAACAACGTAGTCTTGGAAGGGAGTGGTGGGGATTGAATAGGACGGGAGGTGGCAACTGTTTCCGTGGAAGAGCGGGAGACTTGCCCTACGAGGGTGACCCGCAAACACCGAGTCTCACCCAGCCCAGGGAGGGGCTTCTACCCCGCTTACCTCCCCTCTCCTCTCACAGGGCACCGAGAGACCATCGGAGTACTTAGGCTCCAACTACCGCCACCGCTTCCATGTTTCCTGAAAACCCTAAGCGAGGCCAGCCAGACAGCCCACGCACTTCCGGTCCCGGACCAGCTCCAAACACCCAAGCGCCTCAGCGCCTCCGCTTTAGGTCCGAAGAGAGCCGAGTAACTCCGATCGTGGTTAGGCCGAAGTCGAGGGCTTCCGAATAGATTCGATTCAAGGCCTCGGTGAAACGGAGATAACCGAATTCTAAGAGCAGGGCGAGGGAGGGGGGAGCGTCTAGGATGGAGAGAACCGATTGGTGCCGATGTGGAGACGGAAACACCCGAGCAGCCCCGGAGGAACCCGGAGAGTTCTGAGTGGTAATCGAGGGGTTGACTACAGCGGTGGGCGGGGTCGGTCGGTCCGTTCGAAGGGCGTTGGCGGAAATTACCGAAGATGCCCGAAGCCGTCGGGACGGACCCGAGCACCTCACGCAAGATGGCGGAGCTGGAGGAGGTGACTCTGGACGGGAAGCCTCTTCAGGCGCTGCGGGTGACCGACCTGAAGGCCGCGCTGGAGCAGCGAGGCCTAGCCAAGAGTGGGCAGAAGAGTGCCCTGGTCAAGCGGCTCAAAGGGGTGAGGAGACGGCCTTGCCGGGGTGTCGGAGGGGAGCGGACCCGGTAGAGACGAGTCTGTGCCGCGGCGCAGGCGCAGTGTCCGGGCTCGGCGCGAGCTCGCTCAGGCCGCCAGCGCGAACCTCCGGGGCCGCGCGCGCGGTGGTTGGCGAGGCTCGCCTTGGACCTGAGATCGCGCCGGTTCCCGCCTTAACGGCAGCGGCGCGAGCCCAAAATGGGAGGGTGCGCGCTACTCTGCCGGAGTGTCTTTAGCTCCTTCCTCCTTCCCCCACCCGCTCCTTGTTTGTGTCTGTGGTTTCGGCGCATGCGCTGCAGAAGGAGTTAAATCCCACTACAACCACCGGCGTTGCTGGCTTAAGGGGGGGTGGGGGTGGGGGCGGGTTGGGCTGGGTCGGAGTTGGGGGTGTAGTTAGGCGGAGGGGTCGATGGGCTTGGAATCGGTATCCCAAATAATGGGACTGAAAGTGTCTGATCAACAGAGTGAAAGTGTCTGATCATTTGGGAGGTGGGGTGAAGAGAGCCCTTCACCTGAAGGGACATGGTGAGAGAGGGGTGTATAATTTATAGGGCACTCAGAAGCAATTTGAGTAGATTGGAGTCTGGTGACTATTGGTGAGAGGTGAGGCAGGTTGGTATATATGTTGGGGATTTTGTAAGTTAGGGTGGGATAATCACGAGGTAGGTGGTGGGTGGGTCGGTGTGTATAGGTTTGTGAATGGAGGGAAGATGAGGATGTCTTGGTTTTAATAAGGGTCCATTAGGATATGAGGTGGGTAGTTTTGGGGCTGGGTTAGCTCAAGGGTTAAGTTGGCAGACCGTTGCTTATACATAAGCTGACATTTGTGCGGGCGCGCGCGCGCTCGTGTGTGTGTGTGTGTGTGTGTGTGTGTGTGTGTGTGTGTGTTGGAGCATAGTTTACAGAGTCTGAGCTCGTTCTGTTCTGTAGCCTCCTTTTTGAAAAAATTTTTAAATTAGTTAAATCTACGTGTCACTTTTTTTGGAAAGAATCTCGAATAGATCTACTCCTGGGTAACTGACCTAGTAATTCAATCAGCCCGCAGCTAGCAGCCCCATGTTGGTTTCAAGCATTTGAAGCTGATTTGAGTATTTGAAGTAATTTTACCTGCAGGGTCAGATTTAGGAGCGCTAGTCAGAAGTGCAGAAGATAATAGGGATTATGGCAGTGGTTCTGTCACTGATTGTGTTACATAGCCAAGTCCCTGATTGTCTCTCCTGTGCCTACATTTTACCTCTGTACGTTTGGGAGCAGTAACCATGGCTACCTTTAAGGGTCTTCTGAAGATAAATGGGAACAGTATTAGTGAAGGGCTTTTTAGGTCCCTGGAAAAGGAATACAGTTTAAATGTGTATGGTTAGTCATTGCACTTCATGAAGAGATTGAGGGAGGGGTGGGTGTTTTTTTCCCCCCATTTTCTGACTTTCTGCTCTTTTCTGTACCAGGCTCTAATGCTAGAAAATTTACAGAAACACTCAACGCCCCATGCTGCATTTCAGCCAAATTCCCAGGTAAGAAAGAAGGCTCATTAGGTGGGGTAGACTCTTTAGATGCACAGATACATGGAAGGACACAATGTATATTTGATGCTTAATTCCTTACCAATATTTCCGAAGTTCCCCTGGTCAGAAATGTTCTCGTTCCAGGACAGTTGAATTCTAATAAAGAATTAAAGAACAGAATCAGAGGAGATGTTAGTTGATTTCTGATACTTGAAATGGTGTGTGCAGAAAAAAATGTAGCTCCAACTGATTAAGTGTTCTCTTGGGATCTGAAGTCATTTATTTGCCATTGATTTGGGGAAAATAGTGGTCTTTGAATGTAGATATACAATGTAAGGAAAATGCTTGGCTAAGGAAATACTGTGTGGACATAGATTTTCTAAGAATTCAATCTTTTGGAAATCATCCACCATTAAAAGTGTTAATACTAACCATGAAGTTACTCCTAAACATTATTAATTGTTCTGTTACTTAGGGCATACTTAATCTTTGGAAACCTTGGTTTCCTCAACTTCCCTGTGTATAAGAGGTTGAACTAGATCCTTAGTACTATAACTGCTCTGCTGGGGTTTTGTGGAGTTGCTTTTTGGGGGCTTCCTGGGGAAGATACCTTAGTCCCAAGTAAGCAGAAGATTCACACTCTCCTCTTACACTAGATTAGATCTATTTTGTCTGGTTTGTATACTGAGTTTTTGCATAAGATTTTTTTTTTAGAAGGTATTATTCCACAGTTTTAAAAAACAACCTTAAAAGCTAACATTTTAACTGTCTTAGACTGTATGATCTCTTAAGATCCTTTTCCATTTTAAAATCTCATCATTGTACTGTGTCATGCACTAAAGGAAAAATCCAGATCTTTGTTATTGCAGTGGTGTGCAGCTCCAGTACTAGATGAAGTCCCAAGATACTGTGGAAAATTCTTACTCCCTTGTTATCGCCTCATTAAGCTGTGTTATAATATAGCCCGTTTACAGACAGAGGTTTAGTTAAGCATAAGACACTGCATAAATTAATCAGCTTATGATTATATTCCTTTTGCATTTTAGTCTTTGAAGCTTTGCTTTTATTATATAATTTTTTGCAATTAATACATATATTCTCTAATATGTGCAACCTACACTTCATCAATGTCCATTGAGTACCAAGAAACTTATCTATACTTTAGGTGAAAGCAAACATTTACTATGCTTAGGAAAGATGATTAGTAACATAGAAAGTATTTAGATTTTTTTTTCCTTTTTCTGGAGTTCTAATAGCAGTTACCAAGCAAGAAGGCTCTCTCTGGTGGGGGACTTGTGGAGAGAAAGCTGAAGAGCAGAAGAGTGATGTGGGAATCTGTGTTGCAAAAAAAAAGGATGGGAAGCAACTGCATTTTAAATGTTGTTACCAAGTATTTCTTATCACCCAAAGAAAATGGACTTAGAACTCTGTCTAAAGCTGAATGGATATCCCTTTATTTAGTCTCTTGCTTTCATATTTTTTAAGTCCTGTACTTGAATTTTGGAGATGTTAACTGTTCCCTGGATAAGTAGAGATTGATCTTTTGTTAACAATAAAAGATGAAATAGTATGACCTAGTATTTTCCCCTTTTATTTCTGATATTACTGAAAATTTTAGATTACTTTTAGATAATATTTTCTAAAAGTTTAGATTAAAAGTACCTAAAAATTTATGCCGAAACCGGTTTGGCTCAGTGGTAGAGCGTCGGTCTGTGGACTGAAGGGTCCCGGGTTCGATTCCGGTCAAGGGCATGTACATTGGTCGTGGGCACATCCCCAATAGGGGATGTGCAGGAGGCAGCTGGTCGATGTTTCTCTCTCATCAACATTTCTAGCTCTCTCTCTCTCTCCCTTTCTCTCTGTAAAAAATCAATAAAATATATATTGTTTTAAAAAATAAAAAAATAAAAGTACCTAAAAATTTAGATACTTTTACAAGAATTTGTATTTCTTTTAAGTTGTGCATCACTTTTTGGATGGGAACTGAATATTTAAAATAAGAAATTATGTATAGTTCCTCTTTTTGCCATTTTTTGTGAACCATAGGACCATTTATTTTTATTTTCAACATAAAAGTCGCTTAAAAAGAAGCCATCCAACATTTTAATCATCTTTCTTGAGTCCAGGTATAAGGGGTAGACCTTTGCTCCATGAAATTTCCTAGTTTGCTCCTTCAGTTTCCTAGTTTGCTTTCCTAGACTTTTTTTTTCTTTTCTTTTTTCATGTCCTCAACCCAGATTGGCGAGGAAATGAGCCAGAACAGTTTCATAAAGCAGTATCTGGAAAAGCAACAGGAGCTGCTTAGGCAGCGTCTGGAACGTGAAGCTCGAGAAGCTGCAGAACTTGAAGGTAAGCCCAGACTGTCCCTTCTTACAAGTTCTTCATTATGTTCCTGTAACTGAGTAGATGGGCCTGTTTAGGCAATTTGGGGAATAAGTCAGCCTAAGACTATTTTATTTGCTTTGGTAGTTTATGCCAAGTGAGTTACTATTTACCTTTTGTCAGGGAAGAAGACAATTAGACTATCTTACTAGAAAAGGATTCCTGCCAACAGAAAGAGTAATAAGTAAATTAAGCCACCCTTTTAGATGAAGTAGAGCTTAATCCTAGGGAGTTTTTCTCTATGGATAGCATTATTTTTAGTATATGCTCTGTATCCATGACTTTGCCTGACCTCCTTCACTCCTCTACATATTCCCACATGCTGAGCCCTTCACTCCCTCCCTGCCCCGACCCAATCTGTACTTTGCAGAAGCTTCAGCTGAGTCGGAGGACGAGATGATCCATCCTGAGGGAGTGACTTCCCTGCTGCCTCCTGACTTTCAGAGCAGCCTGGAGAGACCAGAGCTGGAACTCAGCAGACATTCGCCCAGTACGTATCTCCCTCCCCACTGCGCAATTTTGTCAATCCTGCGTAGTTGGTGGGGGGAGGTAGTTACACCTCCTTTCATACTAAACCTCCATTAAAGTCCCAGGGAAACTCTGTGACTTGTTATTTGACATGTTTTTTCATGGAAATTATGTCCTTTTTGAAGTCTGCTCTCACCTCTGTTGTGTTAACCTCTCAGAATGTTTTGTATGGTGGTATGATTTTTCTTCTCATCTGTACCTCTTTAACCTCTTCTACCTCTGAATTTACCAACAGTCATGACTTTCTTTTACCTCTTCATCAATTATATATATTTTGAGTTGCACATCCAGTCAACCCTCAAAGAGCATCTGCTGCAGTTTATTAATTCATAATTGTTATTGAGCACCTGTTACTCTAGGCATGTTTGAGGCACCAGAAATATAGTAGAGAAAGATAAGTCTCTGCCCTAATGAAATCTATAGTCTAGTGAGAAGATGGACATAACTAAATTATTACATAATTAATTAAAATTGTGCTTTGTGCTATGAAAGTCAGTGCAGAGTATTATGTGAGCTCTAACCCAGTATGTGGACTAGGTTCAGGCAAGATTAAATTTTTCACATTATTAAGCCCTTAGTTTTGCATAGTCTCTCAAGCAAAAGTCTGTAAATTGAGCCTTTGTTTGCGAGGATCTACCTATCTAAAACAGTATCCTTTTATTTTTTTATTTTACTTTTATTTATTTAAATGTATTTCTTATTGATTTCAGAGAAGAAGGGAGAGGGAGAGAGATAGAAATATCAATAATGAGAAAGAATCATTGACCACTGCCTCCTGCACACCTCCTACTGGTGATCAAGCCCACAACTTGGGCATGTGTCCTGACCAGGACCTGGTTCATAGGTCGACACTCAACCTCTGAACCACACTGGTCGGGCTAAGACAATATCCTTTTAGGAGAATATGTATATAAGATGTGTGTACAGTAGATAGCTATATTAAACCAATGTGTAAATTAACAAGTATTTTGAATCAGTGTTGTTGTTTTTAATCATTATTAATCACTAGAGGCCCGGTGCCCAAAATTCGTGCAGGAGCGTGGGGTTGGTATCCCTCAGCCCAGCCTGCACCCTCTCCAATCTGGGATCCCTCTCACAATCCAGGACTGCTGGCTCCCAACTGCTCGCCTGCCTTCCTGATTGCCCCTAACCACTTCTGCCAGCCTAATCACCCCCTAACTACTCCGATGCCAGCCTGATTGATGTCTTAACTGCTCCCCTGCCAGCCTGTTTGCCCCCCCACTTCCCTCCTCTGCCAGCCTGGTCACCCCTAACTGCTCTCCCTGCAGGTTTGATTGCCTTCAACTGCCCTTTCTTGCAGGCCTGGTGCCTCCCAACTGCCCTCCCTTGCAGGCCTGGTGCCTCCCAACTGCCCTCCCCTGCTGGCCATCTTGTGGTGGCCATCTTGTGTCCGCATGGGGGCAGGATCTTTGACCACATGGGAGCAGCCATCTTGTGTGATCAATATGCATATTACTCTTTTATTAGATAGGATAGAGGCCTGGTGCACTGGTGGGGGCCAGCTTGTTTGCCCTGAAGGGTGTCCCGAATCAGGATGGGGTTCCCTTGGGGCGTAGGGCTGCCTGGGTGAGGGGCCTGTGGTGGTTTGCAAGCCAGCCAAACCCCCTGGCGACCCAAGCAGAGGCCCTGGTATCTAGAATTTATTTACCTTCTACAGTTGAAACTTTGTAGCCGGAGCAGAGCCAAGCCTTCTGCTTGTTCCTTGGCAGCAGCCATTTCTGTTTGGATTTGTTTACCTAATATGATTGAAACTTTGTAGCCTTGAGTGAAGACCTAGGCTGGCAAGGGCAGGCGGAAAGCTTGGCTTCTTCCATTGCCAGAGAAACCCAAGCATCCTTCCTGCTCTCTGTGGCTGTAGCCATCTTGCTTATGGTTAATTTGCATACTTTCTCTGAGTGGCTGGTGGGTATAGCAGAGGTATGGTCAATTTGCATATTACTCCTTTATTAGATAAGCTTTCAGTGGTCTTGGGGAAGGTGATAATTTCATATTTAACATTTTTGGAATGTTTGAAAGTTGCTGGCTCTTCTGAGAAGCATAGAATTCTTCCTGAAAATATATTTTTAGGAAATGTTTAATGATTGGAGAAAAATACATTTTTTAAGAAACTTTTCTCCTCATATATGAAAGTAGCAGACCCTAAATTGATCCATTTTGCTCTTAGCACTCTTTTCCTTGATTGTAAAGCCAAGAGGAAGAGTAAAACTTACAAGTTAGTTGTCCGCTTTTCTTAAACAAGTCACTCAAAATATGTATTGAATTTCTGCTACATACATATCTCCATATGTATATGGGGAGTTAGCCCATTTGTAAAATATATTTAGGGAGAGAAAAGATAATTGCACATAAAATTAGCACTATAATATGATATGTCACGTTTTTAAATGACATATAAGTAGTACAGACACATGTAACATGATTTCAAGAGTAAGAGCATTCTGAGGACTAATGTGATTAGAGAGTGCCTCATGAAGGTGTAGGATTTGAGCTAAGCCTTAAAAATAGGTAAGATTTTGCCAAAACCAGTTTGGCTCAGTGGATAGAGCATCTGTCTGTAGACTGAAAGGTCCCAGGTTCGATTCCGGTCAGGGGCATGTACCTTGATTGAGGGCACATCCCCAGTAGGGATTCTGCAGGAGGCAGCTAATCGATGATTCTCTCTCATCAATGTTTCTAACTCTCTATCCCTCTCTCTTCCTCTCTGTAAAAAATCAATAAAAATATATATTTTTTTTAAAAATAGGTAAGATTTGAGTTGGCACAGATTAGGGTATTTTTATTTTTATTTTATTTTTATTTATTTTAAAGAGGAAATTTTTTTTAAAAATATATTTTATTGATTTTTGTACAGAGGAAGGGAGAAAGATAGAGAGTTAGAAACATCGATGAGAGAGAGTCATCGATCAGCTGCCTCCTGCACACCCCCTATTGGGGATGTGCCTGCAACCAAGGTACATGCCCTTGACCGGAATCAAACCCGGGTCCCTTCAGTCCCCAAGCCGATGTTCTATCCATTGAGCCAAACCAGTTTCGGCAGATTAGGGTGTTTTTAGGAGGAAACAAAGGATAGGAATGATTGTGCTATCTTTAAAAAAAGAGATATCAAAAGAATCTAGCCAGTATAAAGTATTCTTTCATATTCAAAAATAGAGAAACTGCCGAAACCAGTTCGACTCAGTTAATAGAGCATCAGCCTACAGACTGAAGGGTCCCAGGTTCAATTCCAGTCAAGGGCATGTACCTTGGTTGCAGGTGCATCCCCAGTAGGGGGTGTGCAGGAGGCAGCTGATCGATGTTTCTTACTCTATCCCTCTCTTTCTCTCTAAAATATCAATAAATTTTTTTTTTTTTTAAATAGAGAAACAATTTAAAAAGTAGATTGGGATAATATTGTAGAAGGCTTTGAAATACCAAGCCAATGTGTATGAACTTTTTTATTCTAAAGGTAATGGGGGAACCATTGAAAATTCTTGTTAGGAACATGATTTGATAAGGAACTCATTTTAAGGAAAAAACCTGTCTCAGTTAGAATGTAATTTGAGCCCTAGTTGTTCTTGCTCAGTGGTTAGAGCATCAGCCTGTAAACTGAAGGGTCTCAGATTCTATTCTGGTCAGGGGCGCATACCTTGGTTGCAAACTATTTCTGGCTCCCCTCGGGGTACATGCAGGAGGCAACCAATCAATGTGTCTGATGTGTGTCTCTCACATCGATGTTTCTATCTCTCCCACTCCCTTCCACTGTCTCTTAAAAAAAAATTCTGTGGCCCAGCTGGCATGGCTTATTGGTGAGTGTCAACCTATGAACCAGGAGGTCGTGGTTCAATTTCCTGTCAGGGCACATACCTGGATTGCAGGCTCAATCCCCATTTTGGGGTGTGCAGGAGGCAGCTAATCAATGATTCGATTCTCTCTCATCAATATTTCTCTCTCTCTCCCTCTTCCTTCCTCTCTAAAATCAATTAAAAAAATGTTTTTTAACCAATGGAAAAAATGTTTTTTAACCAATGGGTGAAGATTAACAAAAACAACTGGAATTTGAAATGAATGTATCTTGACATAGAAATAAGGTTTCAAAAGCAAAGATGTAGAGTGAGGGTAGTTAGTCTCTTCAGTATTTAATGTCATCAGCAGGACCCTGCCTGTGGCTATCATTAATGGAGGGAGGAGCGGGGACAGGTAAAAGAAAAGGAAAGGAGAGATGAAAAATAAAAGAGATGAAATAAAATAAAAGAGATGTAATAGAGTAAGGGAGAGGGAATGAGAGATAGAAACACCAATGAGAGAGGAACATCATCGATTAGCTGCCTCTCATAGGTACCCCCTACTAGGATGTGCCCTGATCGGGGAACAATCCAATAACCTCTTGGTTCCTGGATCCAGGCTTAACTGCTAAGCTACACCAGCAAGACTATTTTGCTTTGTTTTCATTGGTTTCAGAGGGAGCAAAACATCGATCAATTGCTTCCCATATGTGCCCTGACTGAACATGCCACATTTGGTGCTCACAATGACACTCCAGCTAACTGAACCACACTGGCCAGGGCTAGTTTACTATTTTTTTTTTTTTTTTAACATTGATTTTTTACAGAGAGGAAGGGATAGGGATAGAAAGTTAGAAACATCGATGAGAGATACATCGATCAGCTGCCTCTTGCACACTCCCTACTTGGATGTGTCCGCAACCACGGTACATGCCCTTGACTGGAATCGAACCTGGGACCTTTCAGTCCGCAGACCGACGCTCTATCCACTGAGCCAAACCGGTTTCAGCTATTTTACTATTTTTAAGACTATGGATTCCTGGGCCCTACCCTGAGAATCTCAGGGAATGTGACTTCTGGTTTTAAAGTCCTCTTATAGTTCTGTTGATCAATTTTGAATGACTAACTAAAAGAATAGTTTTTCAGTATTATATTTCATCAGGATCTTTGACTTATATTCTGACAGCCTTCTGTTTTATGTACTGTAGACAAAATTCCAAATTGGAAGAAAGAATCTATATTATAAAAACCCAGTGGCCCTAACTCCGTAATGACCAAAGGCAGGCCTGGGTGGGTGGGGCTGTGAGTGTGGTGAGGCACACATGGGTGGGCAGGGCTGTGGGGGTGGGTGAGCAGGTGGGCAGGTCATGGGTGGGTGGGTCTGTGAGCACAGCCAGGCCGCACGTTGGGCGGGACGGTGCAATTTTGTGCTCTGGGCTTCTAGTCTATATTATACATAAGCCTAAGCAACTGGTCGCTATGATGTGCCCCTATCACCAGAGGGCAAACATTCAACATAGGAGCTGACCCCTGGTAATCAGTGCACCCCCATAGCAGGAGCACTGCTCAGCTGACCAATGGGCGCCAGACACAGGGCTCATAGTAGCAAGTGCCGCTGTGGCAGCGCGAGCCTCTCCTGATCTGGACTGACAGTGTGAGGTGTAGCAGGGATGGGATGAGTTGGAGCAGCAAGTGGCGTTGGACTGCCGGTTTTAGCCTAGTCCCCACAGACCACAACAAGGGACCCCACCAGTGCACAAATTTGTGCACTAGGTCTCTATTTCAATGGTCACCAACCTTTTGGGCCTCATGGACCACCAGTGGTCCACGGACCACCGGTTGGCAACCACTGCTCTAGTTTGTTTATAAAATCCTCCTTGGCTCTCCTTTATCTGCCTCCTGCACATCCCACACTGGAGATCAAGCCCACAGCCAGGCATGTGCCCTGATGGGGAATCGAACTGTGACCTCCTGGTTCATAAGCCGATGCTCAACCACTGAGGCATGCCAGCCAGGCATCCTTCTTTTAAAAAAAAAAAAATGTTTTATTTATTTATTTTTTTTTTACAGAAAGGAAGGGAGAGGGGTAGAGTTAGAAACATCGATGAGAGAAACATTGATCAGCCTCCTCCTGCATATTCCCCACTGAAATTTACTGAAAGCCTGTTATTAAACACAAAACATCTCTCATATGATGTTAAATATGTGCTTATAACTTTTTTATATTGAAAATAAAACAAAAAATTTTTTTAGTATATATTTTATTGATTTTACACAGAGAGGAATTGAGAGGGATAGAGAGTTAGAAACGTCAATGAAAGAGAGAAACATCAAGGGCTGGGGTGTTGATCTGTGAGTGCCTTGGGTAGGGCCTGGATGAGACTATTTGACCTATTTGGAAATGTCTTTTGTGTGAAGTGTATCATTGGGCATGTGGAGGTATTATTGATATGAGAAAATGCTAAGTAACTGATTACTATCTGAAAAGGGATTTACTATCGGGGAAAGGGAGGGAGGAAGAGACTGAACATAAACTGTGCACCTATGGATGAGGACAATGGGGGATGGGGAGGGGACGGAGGGTGGGGTGGGAACCTGGTGGATTGGGGAAGAAATGAGGAACCTTTGTAATAATATGAACAATAAAGATTGATTTAAAAAAAAAAAAAAGAAGAAGAAAAAACAAACATCGACCAGCTGCCTCTTGCATGCCCTCATTGGGGATGTGCCCGCATCCAAGGTACATGCCCTTGACCGGAATCGATAGAGCGTGGATAGAGCGTCAGCCTGCGGACTGAAAGGTCCCAGGTTCGATTCCGGTCAAGGGCATGCACCTTGGTTGCAGGCACATCCCCAGTAGGGGGTGTGTAAGAAGCAGCTGATCAATGATTCTCTCTCATTGATGTTTCTGACTTTCTATCCCTCTCTTTCTCTCTGTAAAAAATTAGTAAAATATATATATATTTTTTAAAAGTACTTGGGATGGTTAGGTCTATGAATTTTTTAGCAGTTTATTGTATTTGAGGAGTATCTGAGAATCTCTGTAGGTTTTCCCTTCAGAGTTTAGAATTTTTTACTTATTTTTTAATTGATTTCGGGGATGGGGGGGAGAGACATAAATGATGAGAATTATTGATTGGCTGCTTCCTGCATGCCCCCCACCAGGGACCGCGTTTGCAAACTGGGCATGTGCCCCTGACTAGAGTCAAACCCGGGACTCTTCAGTTCACAGGCCAACACTCTATCCACTGAGCCAAACTGACCAGGGCAGGATTTTATTATTTTTAAAATGCTTGTTTTCTTGCCTGCTGGTGTGACTCAGTGGTTGAGCATAGACCTCTGAACCAGGAGGTCAATGGTTTGATTCCTGGTCAGGAAATTATCTATGTATAAGCTTTAAAATATCTGCAATTTAAAATTTTTAACCTTCCTTCCAACCTGATTAACTTTGTGTTTTTTTTTTTAACTCTTGAGCACCTGGATAATGTTTTTTGTTTTTTAGAGTGGTTTTAAGTTCAAGGCAAAATCGAGAGGAAGGTACAGAGTTCCCATATGTCCTTTGCCCCACATATGGATAGCCTCCCCCACTATCAACATCCCTCACCAGAGTGGCACGCTTCTTAAAATTGATGCACCTTGCCAAAACTGGTTGGTTCAGTGGATAGAGTGTTGGCCTCTGGACTGAAAGGTCCCGGGTTCGATTCCGGTCAAGGGCATGTACCTTGGTTGCGGGCACATCCCCAGTAGGGGATCGATGCTTCTCTCTCATCAATGTTTCTAGCTTTCTATCCCTCCCTCTTCCTCTCTGTAAAAACTCAATAAAATATATTTTTTTAAAATTTTTTTTGATGCACCTACATTGACACATCCTAACCACCTAAAGTTCATAGTTTACCTTCAGGTTCACTATTGATGTACATTCTCTGGGTTTGGACAAATGACATGTGTTTGGATAAATGACATGTATTCATCATTACAGTATCATATAGAATATTTTTGCTGCCCTAAAAATCCTCTGTGCTCTGCCTATGTATCTGTCCCACACCTGCCTTTTTTTTTTCTTTTTATAAAACTATCAATAAATCTGTTTCTCTTCTTTATACTTGCAAAGGAGCTGTACTTTGAGGAAATACCTTTTTGTTAATTTTATAATTTAATCTATTCCAGGTCATTTAATTATAAAGCTATTGATTATTTTAGCCACTACATTATTTATTGATTCCTTAGATTATCCTTTACATGTTTACTAAAGAATCTGGCCTGTCACTATATATCTTAACCATAGATCTTATACACACACCCATATGCAAGTCTTTATTCACTAACCAAGATTTTAAAAATGGTGTATCTTGTTAATCAGGTGACCATGGAGTAAAGTTTTATAAAATATGTGCAGTCTTCTAGTTCAGTTTAGATTGTTGAAATATAGACATAAATACTGCCTTGAGTTAGAGATCATACCATCTGCTTTATTTGCCGCCAGTTTAAATACCATTTACCCACAGTTACCATCCTTCATGAAATGTGAAAGTTTTTTCAGTTTTACCTGGAGTTACTATTTGGAATGACCTAGATTGGTAGTTTCCAAGCATTTTTTTTAATATAACTTATTTTTCCTTTTTTAAAAATCTCACTTTGAGGTCCATATGTAATACATAATTGAGAAGGGCTCATTTCTGAAGCCTTGTCCTGTTGTTTCTAGTAATTTCTAAGAACGTTAAGGTTCTGAAAACCACACCTATAAGTACTTAGTTTATGAGATTGTTATTTTACAAACTGGCATATTAATCATAATATTTTAGTCAGAACTAGTGGTAGTAATAGAAAATTTAAAAAAAATAGACATTGAACCTAGTGGGATCTAGAGTTTTAATTCAGAGTGAGAAAACATTTTATAAAAATAAGTGTACTTTGGCCCTAGCCGGTTTGGCTCAGTGGGTAGAACGTCAGTCTGCGGACTGAAGGATTCTAGATTCATTTCTAATCAAGGGCACATGCCCTGGTTGCAGGCTTGATCCCCAGTGTGCAGTGTGTGTGCAGGAGGCAGCCAATCAGTGGAATCTCTCTCATCATTAATGTTTCTATCTCTCTATCTCTTCCTTCCTCTCTGAAATGAAAAATACATATATTTAAAAAAAAAAAAAAAAAAAAGAACTGCATTTAGTATTTGTACATCTTTGTTAGACAGTTTGAAGCCCTTGGTAGTTATTTTACATTTGAATTATTTGTACTAAGTGAATTGGCTTTGAGATATTAAAAATATTTCAGACAGCCAAAACCGGTGTGGTTCAGTAGATAGAGCATCAGTCTGCGGACTGAAAGGTCCCAGGTTCGATTCTGGTCAATGGCATGTACCTTGGTTGCGGGTACATCCCCAGTATGGGATGTGCAAGAGGCAGCTGGTCGATGTTTCTCTCTCATCAATGTTTCTAACTCTATATCCCTTTCCTTCCTCTCTGTAAAAAATCAATAAAATATATTTTTTTAAAAATATTTCAGACATACATAGCAGGAATTATTAAGACCTTGACCCTTAGGGCTTTATATAGTCTTCTGCATAGAAGTCAAAGAAATTGATAGAATGATGTATTGACCAGTTCATATGCTATAATTGATTATGTTTTAGAAAACAGCCTTGAATGAGTGTTCATGCCATGAATATGACTTGATTTCCTTTCATTTGATAGGAAAAGGTTCCTCTGTTTCTGAAGAGAAAGGTGACTCTGATGATGAGAAACCAAGGAAAGGAGAAAGACGGTCATCCAGGGTCAGGCAGGTAAGTCAAATACCTCTTAAAGCATCTATCTCCTCTTTGATAATGCTCTGGATAGCTTCTGCTCTTCCTTCTCAGACTATTTCAGAGTTGGTCTCTCTACATTTCTATTTCTATATACTTATCTTCTTTCTACTCCCTTTAACCTTTTTTTTTTTTTTAATTTAGATCTGCTCTGGCCTTAGATTTCTAATTATTCAGTTAAAACCTTAAAGCTTTATGATACGATGTTAAGTGAACAGAATACAAAAGTATATATTTAGTCATTTAAATTTTTCTAGGTGCTCCACTAATAACTTCATTTTTTCAAAAAAATACATTTTGAACTTATCCTCAAAGATTGATCTTAATAATGATGGCTGTTGAGGAATAAGGAATGTGAAGAGCAGAGGAAGAAGAAAGAAGATGTAGCTGCAAATAGAGAATATATTGACATCTACTTTGCTGTTATGAGTTGAATTGCATCCTCCAAAAGATGTTGAAGTCCTAATTCCAAGTATCTGTGAATGTGACTTTATTTGTAAACAGGGTCAAATTAAAATGAGGTTATCAGGGTAGGCCCTTATCCAATATGACTGTATTCTTACGCAAAGGGGAAATTTGCACTCAGAGACAGACACATCCACAGAGAGAACACCATTCGAAGTGTTCAAGGAACTTCTAGAAGGTAGGAGAGAGGCCTGGAACAGATCCCTTCCTACTGCCTTCAGAGTTTTGGCTATCACCTAGATCTCAAACTTGTAATAGCCTCCCAAACTGTGAGACAATAAAAATCTATTGTTTAGCCGGAACCAGTTTGACTCAGTGGATAGAGCGTCGGCCTGCGGACTGAAAGGTCCCAGGTTCGATTCCGGTCAAGGGCATGTACCTTGGTTGCGGGCACATCCCCAGTAGGGGTGTGCAAGAGGCAGCTGATCGATGATTCTCTCTCATCGATGTTTCTAACTCTCTATCCTTCTCTCTTCCTCTCTGTAAAAAATCAATAAAATATATATATTTTTTTTTAAAATCTGTTGTTTAGCAAAAAAAAAACACCACCACCTGTATGTATAGTGTAATTATAACTATGGAAAAGAAATAATGGGGGGAAATAAAATATACCAAAATGACAAAAATAGTCACATTAAATGATAACAGATCAGCCCCTCCCACTTTATTGATGTTCAATTTATGTTTATTTTTCAAGCTTGAAGCTAAAAAATGAACCAGAAGATTCATTATTATACTCCTTTTGGTCATTATTTTGCTTCTCATTAGAGAACACATTAGTCATGCCTGTCTACTGTCACACTTTTCTATGTTGCTGAAAGCACATCATTGAGTTTCTCTTTCCTGTGTGTCTCATGAGATACTTTTTCTCTTCTGGTGATAGTGAGCTAATATACCTGGAATTGTTGTATATGTCTTTTTTTTGTTGTTGTTTTTCAGGCAAGAGCAGCTAAACTCTCTGAGTGCAGCCAGGCTGCTGAGGAAGAAGAGGACCAAGAAACACCTTCCAGAAATCTAAGGGTCAGAGCAGATCGAAATTTGAAAACAGAGGAGGATGAAGAAGAGGAGGAGGAGGAGGAGGAAGAGGAAGAAGAGGAAGATGATGATGAGGGGTTAAAATCGAGGGATGCACCAGTTCTGAAACAGTGTGAGGAAGAAAAAGAGAGGGAAGAGATGCCCAGAGCAAAACCAGAAGAGCTGATGGATGAGAGATCCCAAACCATAAAATCGCAGGAACAGGAGGGGTCAGAGAGAGGAGGGAGAGTTACAAGGTCCCAGGAAGAGGCTAGTAGAAAAAGTCATTTGGCCAGACATCAGCAGGAAAAAGAGATGAAAACATCTCCCCTTGAAGAAGAAAGAGAATTAAAGCCTTCAAAAGGCTTAGAGGAAAAATCAAAGTCCCCTTCCCCTCCTCGACTGACTGAAGATCTAGAGAAGGCCCCTGTTATGCTACAACCAGAGCAAACTGCCAGTGAGGAGGAGACTCCCCCACCTTTACTTACCAAGGAAGCATCTTCACCACCACCTAATGCCCAGCTTCAGAGTGAAGAAGAAATAGAGCCCATGGAAGGCCCAGCCCCCCCTGTTCTCATTCAGTTATCTCCTCCTAAAACAGAAGCTGAGGCCAGGGAGCTATTAATATCTCAGCACACTGTCCAGTTGGCGGGAGGCTTGTCTCTCCTGTCAAATCCTGCAGACACCAAAGTAGAATCTCCAGCAGAGAAAGTGCCAGAGGAAAGTGTCCTGCCTCTGGTTCAGAAAAGCACACCAGCTGAATCCTCAACCCAGAAGGATCTTGAAACTGAGTTAGACGAATCTGGTCAACCAGTCCCTCTAAAAATGGAGGGATTAGCACTGGCCACAGGGATCACTGAGGAATCTCTTAAACAGCCGTCTTTGGAACAGAAGGAAGGTAGAGGGGCTTCTCATACCCTTCTCCCAAGCCACAGACCGAAACGGTTAGACTCATCCTCTAGCCGGTCCTCCTCATCTTCATCTTCCAGTTCTAGATCAAGATCTCGCTCTCCTGATAGTTCAGGCTCTCAGTCTCACTCACCTCCAAGATCTAAGCAGAGAGATGCATCTCATGCCAACCCTCGTGGTAGATCCAAGATGGGTTCCAGATCAACATCAGAGTCTAGGTCACGTTCCCGTTCTCGTTCAGCATCAAGCAACAGCAGAAAAGTAAGTATGGGAGTACCCCGAGTGCATTGATGTTCTGTCTGTATGCCAGTGTTTTCCAATCACAGGAGAACCTGTGATTTTTCTGGAAGAAATAGGAAAAGCTTCCTTTAGTTCCCAGTTCAGTGATTACTTTCCCCTCATTTCAGAATCTAATTTTCAGTTCATTGATCCCTAAATGGGTCCTTTTTCATTTTGAGCACCTTTGATTCCGAAGAAAGAATTTGAACTTTGAACTTTTTTTTTAGTTCATTTATCCATCTCTACTAAACTATAAACTTCTTGAGGCTAGGAACATCCCTTTTAACATGTGTATTCTAGTACCCAGCACCCAGAGGGGCTTAAGTAATTTGTTGAATAATCTAAGAAGCCAGGGAGGTTACTAACTCAAACAGGAATAAACACAGGGACAAAAAGGTTGAAAGTATTCAATTGGGTCAGCAGAAGTTGGAAAACCAGTGACCTACTGAACATACATCATATAAAATAATTTGCTTTATGTGTTTCGTTTCTTCAGTCTCTGAGCCCTGGAATCTCCAGGGACAGCAACACCAGCTACGCTGAAACCAAAGATCCCTCTTCTGGTCAGGAGGTTGCAACTCCACCAGTGCTACAACCACAGGTCCTTGAGCCAAAGGAGAGGACTTCCATATCATCCTCTATTCAAGTGAGGCCCATGGGCCAACCTGAGCCAGCCGAAAAGCATGTGACTCAGAGGGTACAGCCTGAACGGGTAGGCTATTTTGCCCTCTCCCTAGAGGGAGAGAGAGGATTAGGCATGATTTTCCCTTTTGTCTTAGCTATAAAACTGAAAGGTCAATCTGGACAAGGCTCATTAGAATTGTAGAAGGTTGGGGATACCTGTTAGATTACACTTAACTCATTTCCAATTCTCTGGTTCCTGAGGCTAAATTCTCAGTTCCAGGACTCTCGGGGTCAGTTCTTCCACAAAACTCCTTTTTTCTGCTCAAAAGGAAGCCTTTTTCTGCTTCTCTTGAAAAAGAATTCTAATAAAATGATAGCTGGCATGGAAATTCTTTAAGCAATATTCCATTCCACTGTATATTAATAAAATGAAATAACAAAGCTATGTAGAGCTATGTGTAGAGGTGGTATGTTGTATATTTTGCTATGCCTTTTACCAGCTCCAGATTAAAGACAAGAAACCCAGCCGATGTAAGTATGTTGCTATGTTTGTTTTGCTATGTTTGTCCTGACAGGAGAGCCCAAAGAAGTGCGAAGCTGAAGAGGCAGAGCCACCAGCTGCCACACAGCCCCAAACCTCAGAGACTCCGACCTCTCACCTACCAGAATCAGAAAAGATTCATCACACTGTGTAAGTGATATATTTCAACTCGGGTATAACAAGAAACTTGGAGTGTGTGATAGTTCTTGGCTCGCAAGAGTTCGTTAAGCGGTCCTAGTTTCCTTTTAAAACATGAAAGCAGAACTTTATCTGGACAAAGGCTAGGCTTTAGTTGCTATGTTGGGAGCTACCACCGAAAATCTTAAGAGAGTCTGAAAAGTGGTGGTGAGAGCGTAAAGAAACGTATGTAGGATCACCTGGCCAAAATTCTGCTTCCTTAAGAGCAGGCAGCAGAGACTTCTGTCTCCAAACTCAAGACAGTGTGAGGGACTTGACCCAAAACATCTTTCTCAATTTTTAACTCACTTACCAGGTACATCTAAGCCCGGAATACAGATTAATAAAGGATATTGAGGGTCTACAAAGAAAGACACAGAAGGGTGTTGCTGTGTTTTAGTTTCTGTGTTTTTCTTGTTTATTTGCTATCATTTTATTAGCACAGTTAAGTTAGCTCATACAGCATACTACAAAAGATGAAGTCCATCCATAACAAGTCCAGAGTTAATTCTGGGGTCCCTAAGACTCTTGAATTGGTTTTATAATTTAGATAATTAATGTGAGTTTTTTATTTCCTTGTATTTAGTTCTAGAAAAACACTCATGTCAAATTAAATTTGTAATTGAACATTTATTATTCTGAGCCAAGTATTATAAATTAAAAAGCCATTGAACCAGAATTCCTGGCTTCAAATTCTCATGGGAAATTTAAAAAAAAAAAAAAAAAAAAAGCATTGAGAAAATAAGATGCTTAACTTTTAGACATCAGGAATCTGGTACTGCTTTGGTGAATGTCCTATATAGTTGACCTAAAGTTTTCCCATGATTGTTTCTATGTAATTTTAACACTATACTATCAGTATGATTTTTTCCTTTATGTAAAAGTCTTTTTCTGAGAACTTTAGACTGTTTTTTACTTCTGATTTTGGAGGGTGGTTGGCAGGTGATATGATTTTATCATCTCATTTTTTAATGATTTTAATAGTAGTTTTATACTCTATAGCTTTTACCTTGGCACTACCTTTGTTACTGTCCATTACACATTCTTGCCTCTGCTGCCATCTTGTGGGCATTACTTTGTTTTTTTGAAAGCCAAAGTTCATTCTGCCTTGAAAAGTTTTTGTTATTCCTTTTTGGGATGAGTACATTCTCCTTTGGAAAAAGGTTTTTCTTCTAGGACCATAAAGTGAAAACTCAGCGGATTCTGGAAAGTGTTCAGGATTTCCCCAGCTACACATCGATGAGGAAATGGGGTAACACCTTCCCTTTCATGTCCATCAACCAGTGATAATACTTGCCTCCCCATCCCCATCCCATGGGGGTACAACATAGCCTTTGCATAATGACAGTTTGGAAGTAGGTGTGGACAACTTGCTACTGATTAGGCATGAGAAACTGCCTCCAATGCACTTTGAGAAGCAAGTAATTTTCTAAAAAGCTCTTTGCTTGCCCTAAAATTCTGTGGGTCTTGAGGTTCTTTCTGGCAACAGAACAGTGCTTTATGCTATTTTGAAGCACCTTTATTTCTGGATTTTCACATGGAGTCCAGGGCAAATGAGGCTTGGAGTCATATACAGTTTTTCTCCCCAGTAAAAGGTGGCTTTGGTCTTCATTTAATGACTAAGGTAATCTAATCTACATGATTCTGACAAGATGATAGACAAGTGGCACTTTGAGCAAATACTATGATTGTTGCCTAGGCAAGGTTCAGTGGACAGTCTCTAGATTAGAAATGCCTGTGAGTTTACACACATTCCTCTTGAAATGGTCTAGTCAGCAACCTAAGGAAAAGACATGCCACAGGCCTAAACCCATAGGCTATTCTGAGAGGTCCTGGTACAACGAATTCACAACACTCCTGGGCTTTCACATCCCCCTCCCCCACCCCAGTTCTGGTGTTTAGCCAGTGACCTTGGGAACCCTGGTCACTTTTAAAAGTGGGATCAACAGTATTAAATGGAAAAGACCTTTTGTGGCTTAACCTTGGTTTTCCTTCATCTTAAGAAATCACATGACTTCAATAAAAACAGCATAGGGCCTATTGATTCAGAAAAATGTTTAAAAAATAATTAGACTGTACTTCAAGGACCTCTCACCACTTGAAAGAGATTGCCTAACTTTTTTTGCCGTGGTTGGCTAAATACATTCTGATTCTGATTGTGCCCTGAGGAATTCTAGATTTATGGGGTAAAGTATCTTTTTCATTGCTTGGAGCAGGAATCTGTGAGCCTCAATTCTATTTCAGTTGAGCCCTATTCCAAATACAGCTTTCTGCCTGCTATGAATATAACAAAAATGTCCTCATAAAACAGAAAATAAGGATATTCTCTTTATTTAAAAAAAAAAAAAATAGGGGGGAGGGAGGGGGAATTTATGGGAGCAGTTGTAGATTCATACCTGAAATTTTCTGAAGACTGCCTTACTGTATATACATACCTTGCAAGAGAAATGTAGGGCTTTTTGCCTGAATAGGAGGAAGGAAATGGTCCTTTAAGCCAATATGACACTGTAATTGGTACTCCCCAGGGAGGACCTACAGTGCCATTATGCCAAATGATGCATAATAAAAAAGTAGAATTTATTGTCATCAGTAGAATTTGCTCACTGAAAAATTGGTATCTAAGGACATATTCCCCCAAAACCATACTGTCCTTGTTATCTTGGAACTAGTATGCTCCTGAGAGTGTTTTGTATTAAAATCTCAGTGCCTAGTGGTAGTCAATTTCCACTATTTTTTATTCACTTTCACATCACCTTATGAATTTTCTACAAAAACTAAACTTCAAACATACGCTTATAAAATTTTCTTTTCCATTAGCCTTTCTGAATTTTATTCATATTTATTTGTTAACTGTAGTGTGATGTTGTTAGCCTCCAAGTAGTAATATCCTTTTCTTCTGGGTTACAAATGCTGTTTAATTATGGGAGATATCCCCAACCCTAACCCCCATGCAATTTCACATATATTTCAAAGATTTCGGAAACATTTGTGTAAGAACTAAAATAAGTGGGAAGTCAGAGACTACAAGGAAAAGCGGGGTGGGGCTCTGATACACAGCTAACAAGGCTTTTGGATTGGTCTTGCAAGTAAATTGAGTTCCCTTTTGGGGTAATTTCAAGAATTCTTATTTTAAAGCCTTGGGAAGTTTTGGATCCTACAAAATTGATTATGGGGCAGTGTTACAAACTTGCTGTGCTTTAAAAAGCCCAAGGATAACATGGTAAAATTCTTTTTTTTTTTAACTGAAATTTCTAGTAAAGAATTTTTTTCTCTCCAAGGATTCTACTTCTGGAGATGCAAATTGGCAGTTGAAAGTATTTTAGGACAGTTGATGGATAGGGAGTATTTATTTGAGGATTTTTAAAGGTAACATTATTTGTGGGAATTCTAGCCAAAGAAATGTTTTAAGAGGAAAACTTACAGTTGAGCAAGCACTTATTTAAAGTGTCCACTTGGTACCCACAATGACAACCTAATTCAGAAGTATTTACTGAGCATTTCTTTGTGGTAGGCCTTGGGCTAGGGACCTCTGGCCCTGAGGAACACTGCAGGATGGAGTGAGGGGCAAGTAAACCAGCAGTTACAAAGTGATGAGGATATTGCTGAAAATCTGTCAGCCCAATTACTGAAAGCCTTTGTATGAGAGACAGAGAAGTCTACTCTTTGAGGAAATAAAATTTTTAAAAAGCTCTATAGGTGACATCAAATGAGATAATGGCCTATTAATCAGACATGTATTTATGCACATTCTTTACCTGACTTGGGGTGTTGTTCAAGCCAGATTCTTAAGTGTGAACTGTTATATTGTTCCATGAGATATGTATTGTTATTATTCCCACTTTACAGTTTAAGAATGAAATGCACAGAAAGGGTTAGAAACTTGCCCATATCACACAACTTGTATAGGCCCTAGCTAATTTGACCCCAAAGCTCCTCCTAATCTGAGGAGACAGGGAACTTTTACAATAATGTATAAAATAAACTGCATGACCTCTTTAGCATTCATTTGGCGTGTAGGATTAAGATTTTAAGCAGCAGGGAGAAAATTTTATTCTTGCCTAAAAGCTCTGGTATTGCAAATGAGATAAACACTAAGCTTTTGGTTAAGTACTCAGAAGGGCTAAACCTCTGCTGCTACTAAGATACAAAAGGGAGCCCCTTTGTAGTCCACAAATGATGATATTGAGCATCTACTGAATGCTTTATGAATGATGAGAGTCAGCTTCCCGTTTCACATTTAGGCTGGAGAAGAGCCCATAATAATTTCTACTTAGTTCCCAGTCACTCTCTGCCCAGCAGACACCCCCACCCGTGTAACAGTGCTCTCATTTCAGTTTCTTACCACTTCAGAGCCCTCACCTTGGAGCCCTGGCTCCAAGAATTGCCTTCATGCTTCGGCTATCCAAGGTCCTCTTGCCCTGTTTATCCTTTTCTGTCTCCAGTGGACCCTGGGGCAGGGTGACCTTATTAAAGACTCTATGAAACAAAGTTGTCTGTCATATCTTCAGAGACACCTTTCCCTCACCCACCCCCACACCACCTACCCCCTCACTGGTAATCCGAAAGAGAACTAACTCTGTTTATCCACTTCTTCCAACATCCACGGGAAAAGGACAGGTTGGAGTGAAACGTAATGTTTGGGTGAGCGGCCAGTTACTGTAGTGATTGGTTAGCACTAATTCTCATCCCACCTCCCCACCTTGACCTGATCTGGTTTCGAGGTTTCATGTCTGGTTTCTTGAAGAGAGGGAGGTGGGCACATAAAAGAAAATTGCTTGTGACCCTCCATTCTGTGTCTCTTTCCACTTTGACATTGTTATCTGCCCTCTAATCGTTTTTTCTCACTCCCAGCTCTGCAGTTTTCCTTGCTTCTATTCTCTGGAATCTTCCGGGCAAGCAGCTGTAACTTTGTATGTCCTCTCCACCCAGCCCCCTCCCCGCCCCCTGGGAAGACTGGGAGAGAGCACCCTTTCCCCGCGGGCTCAGGCCTCGTAGCTGCTGTAACCCGAGAAAAGGGAAAAGGGCCAGGCCTCCTGAGCCAGCTGTGAGCCCGGCGGCCGGCCTGCCAGAGGCTAAGAGCCGAGCTCACTGAGCGCCGCCCTCCTCCTCCTCCCTCCCTCCCCTCCCTCCCTCCTCCCTCCTCTCCCCTCCTCCCTCCCCTCCCCTGCGGCAGCGGCCCTCCCTCCGCACACGGGCTGCTGGGTAAGTGGCAAGATGGCTGCCCTGCATGTCTCCGGCTGATCGCCGCTCTCCGCTAATACAATAGAGCCAGCCGCTACCAGCAGCCTGGCCGCCGCCGCCGCCTCCTCCAGAGAGACCAGTGCGGCCGAACTCGGGGTTTGCCGTGAGGACTTAACGCTTATCTCTTAAAATCCAGATCTATTTTAACCTCCCTCCCCACCACCACCACCTCCCCTTCCATTTACCATTTTTTTGGATCCCCAGTTGCTCCATCTCGATTTTCTCTCTCTGGATCGGGTGGCTGGGGAGGAGGTGGTGGGATCTTGGGACAAGAAAGGTGTTTTGTTTTAATTTTTTAGGATTTTTTGTTTGGTTTTTGTTATTTCTTCCATTCCAGAAAGGGATAAACAGCACTTCCAGGGGGAGAAAAAAAAATCATGTTATCAGAAAGCAAAGAAGGGTGAGAACTTCACATTTCCATGTATCCTCTTTCCCCACTGGCCTAGCCCACTTCGGCTTCCTTCTCTGCCCCGTGGCTTTCATTCCGCCTTTCGTTTTGGTTTGTTTTCAGTCATTCTGCTTTCCCCCTTTGTCCTTCCTGCCTGGTTTCTAATTGGCCCCACTTGTCCTCTCTCTGGAGGAAATAGGTATTTTTTAGATAAGCTTTTTCTTTAGATTTAGGGAGTTGAATCTTGTGTTTCTGCGGGGGCCTGTTAGCTGGGGGCACAGTCCCGAGTTTCCCCTCCCCCTTCCTGTGCATCCCTCCCTGCTTGCTCTGGGAAGCTGTTCTGACCTCTGAGTGTCAGTCAGCCTGTCGGGAATGCTGGATTTCCTGGTGGTGATTATCAGCCTGGGGAGGTTTGGTTTCCCTTCTGAGACTTAGGCCCCTGATCATCTCAATTTGATTTTTTTAATCCCAGTGTATGGGTGATAGTGGGGATGAGATTGGAGGTAGAAGTTAGGGGTGAAGACAGAAAAAGAAGAGAGGAAAATAGTTTATCTGAAGTGAGTCTCTAGTGTTCATTGCCTTAAATGAGAGAACGTGTGTGATTGGGGGAAAGTGGAAGTGGGTTCTGCATTTGTGGGGGCAAAATGCATGAAGTGGGGGAGGGTGTGTCCTGGCTGGGAGGCTGCTCTCTTTATCTCTTGGAAGTTGGAATGAGGGAGTGGGAGAAACTGGGCGAAAGCAGAAAGTAAGAACAATTCCTACACCTCTGAGCAGGTAAAAGTGGCCTGATTTCTCCGCTGAGCTTTCATACTCTCCAGCAGTTTCAGCTTTTCCTTTTAGGTGAGCGGGGGTTCTCGTTGAAGCTTGAACCCTCACCACCCCTAACTTCCCTACAGCCCCCATCCCTACCATCTCTCCATTTCTGGTGTCTCCAGATCCTATGGGTCTGTAGGTGTTTACTTATTAAGCAGTTGATTAAATACAAGATTGGGATCATTTGCCACAACCGTGGTCATTCTCCCAAGAATCAGGAGAATGACCACGGCTGTGGCTCTCAAACCCACTTAGTTAGTATGCAATTTTGTAAAATACAGGTGCCTGTGACTAGGGGACAGAGAGGCCACAAGGTTGTAGACAAATCACAGTCACTTTTGAGGGACTGGGGGCTGTTTGCCTTCAGATAAGAGTACTCTGATTAATTACCTAAGAACAGTTGGCCCAACAAATAACAGCTTTGTCCCATCTGGGGTTGCTCTGATCCACGCACTTCCTCAAGGAAAACTTTCCCACTTTTCTTGAAGGGGGTGTCTCTTGTCTGGTGTGAAAAGCAGCTCTCCCAGCCCATCCAAGAGATGAGGCATGGAGGTTTCCTGATCCCAACCTGACATTTTGTTCTCTCTTCCCCTTGGTTCTTTCCTGCCCTTCTCTCCCAACCTCCCCCCATACTGTCAGTGAGGAGAAGGAGGAAGTGACCATGGATACAAATGAGAACAGAACAGAAAATGAGGTGCCAGAGCCCCCCATGCCTGTTGCAGACCAAGTCAGCAATGATGACCGCCCAGAGGGCAGTGCAGAAGATGAGGAGAAGAAAGAGGTAAATCTTCAAGCTGCCCATTGGTGGGAGGGGAGCAGTGGACCTAGGGGAAGGAGTGGACCACCTGGTGATCCCTCGTCCACAGGTGGATAGCTAAAGGGGAGAAGCAGAGACTGCCATCTGAGTAGGGCCAAGGGAGAGTTCGCTGGTTTAGCAAAGGAGACCCCTTGTGATGGGGACAGGGCTCATTATTTCCCCTTTCCTTGATGGGGAACTAATGCAGTCCAGACCCCGGGAGTTTGTAATAATGGGAAAGTCAGTTAATGGCCCTTTATCTAAGACCTGGCCTCAGCTTTCCCTGCCACCTTCCCCAGCTTTTCCCTGTGGGGACTCCTTTAGCTTTCCCTCCTTTTAAAAAGTCTGTTACAGCTAAACGCCATCTAGTGGGCTTTGTGGTTCTCAGCTGACCCGCCATGCTGAGGAATTTTTGTTTGTCATCTGCCCCCCAGTGGTCTCATTGCAGAGATGGAGCCACTTAGAACCCGCACCTGGGTTGATCCCAAAGGCCCCTTCCCCACTTCTGTGACCCCTCTACCTCCTTTTTTGTCATATATATTATCCTGCATCCAATGCAGGGGCCTCCTCCCGTCAGAGCCAGCGAAGTCCACCTGGCTCTTAAAGTAACAGAAGGAATTAGCTGGGTTTGGGAATGGGGTAACAGGGTGGGAGGGACTGTTGTGTGTGTAGCCTTTCTTTGGTGTGTGTTGCGGGGGGTGGGGCCGGTGAAAGTGATTTGATGTGCAGAATATTATTTATTACAAGGTCCTTCTTAAAACTTTGTCCAAGTACCTCATGTACGATAATCCGCCCGTAAAATATAACCCTGCCCAACTGGCCAATCGCTGATGCCGCCTCTTCCTCTGGACCCACCCGCTGCTACTGAGCTGCCCAATCAGAGCCGAGTCTGCTGTCCAGGTGTCTTGGCCAGAGGGGGGCATGTATATGGGATGCTGTGATGGGCCCCTTTTGCCTCCCTGCCTTGCTTACATCAGGGGGCCAAGAAGAGCACTGTTCTGGAGAGACTTGTATTAAAGCAAAAAGCATTTGGAAAGGGGTGGACTTGCACCATCTCCCTATTTGGGACACCCCAAGAAGAGCTTGTGTCAGTGCTGGGGCGCCTGCCCACATGGTCTTATTCTTTTGAGGACTGTGGGTTACCTCCTTTGCTGCAGACTGTTGGGATCCCCGTCTAGGGCACCAAGACCTCCTACAGTCGATGTTTGTGATCACAATGCCATGCTGTGAGACACCGAGTGGGGCTCTCGGCTTAAGCTGTGACGACTAGGAACCCTGCTGAGAAGTCTAGGGTCTGAGCCCAGGGATTTAATGCTGATGACAGCCCAGCCAAGTATCATCACTTGCTCATCAGATGGACTTCCCTCTGGTCCCTGTTGTCCGTGATGAAGGGCAGCAGGTTGGTTGCTCCGACTTCTCCATCCCTGGAGGCAGGAGCTCATCCATCCACCTGACTGGAACCACTGTCTCAGCTGGAGTCCCTGAGAAGATGCCACCACACACAACTCTCAGAAGAGAAGCATTCTGACCTCGATGCTGAATGCGTGCCAGGTCCTGGGGCTGTCATCTTCTACCCCCAGGCTGCCTTCATCAGAGGTTCCATGATCCCACTCGGTGAGAGGACCCCCTCCCCAGTTACAGGCAGAGGAGAAAGGGACTCTGGAGTCATCACCTGGATTCCACGTATTGGGTGGTGGTATTGCTGCAGCTTGCCACTGGTGGACATAGGGTCCTGCCTGCCTCGTGATAAAGGCCAGGACCATTCCTGCTTCTCGCAGGCCATCTCATCAGGGACTGCAAAATGTGCCCCTACAGAGCTGGGACTGATGTCTCTGCCCCTTTTCCCCCTGTACCCCTCGCTGAGCCGGCTACCACCAGTGAACTATATTGACATCATGGAAACTGGGCAGCGTCCCCCCACACGTTTCCCTCCCGCCCCCCCTGCGCCCCTGGGAGGACTCTGGCATTGCCGTGCTGACCACCACGCCGTGCGCCCACCTTTTTTGCCAACCCAACCCCCCACCAATTGCACAGCGCCTAGCAGGGAGGGCTCATTCTGATTGGACCGGCGGTTGACTAGATACAGTACACAGTGAGGTGCGATTGGCTGAACTGAAGATCCCAGGTGTGAGATGGTACCTGGAACATTTGTCATATTCCTAGTTTATTTTCCTCTTTATTTTCTTCTTTTTTATTTTATGTTTTATTTTAATTTTTTCTTTTTCTGATTTCTTTATTGGATTTATTTATTTATTTATTTATTTGGTTCATGTTTTTCCTGTTTTAATTAAGACTTTTCTTCTTCTCACTAACTTACCCATCAAGAGCAGACTGGCTAGGGGTCAGGCTGGCCCTTAACGGAGACCAGGGAGACTTGGTTAGACTACACAGATGGGGTTGTGGGGGGTGGGTGGTGAAAGGGGATTTTATCAAGAGGGTACTTCCCTGCCTTTAAGAAGGATGGTAGTTCTTAGTTTTTCCAGAAATAAGCCTTAAGTCTAAAAATGCTCTATTCCCCTTTTCTCTCTCTCTCTCCCTTTTTTTTTGTTCTGTCCATAGTCTTTCTCCCACTATGTGTTTGGGACAGAAAATTACTTGAAATCAACTTTGGAGGCTTCTGGTCCTTGGCAGAGCCCTTAAGGCTTACGCCCTGTTCAGAAGGAAACAGTCGGGCTTTACTGGAGTTGCACAGTGCTTGGGAAGTTTGAGTGAGACTCTGCTGGGGACAGCCTGGCCTTCAGAGAAACCTTCCTTTACCAAAGACAATTCCTTTCCGGGCACTTTTCTCAGGGGCCTCATTTTCAGTGGGTCCAGCGCTGCCCTTCTCCACAGTGTCTGTGGTCAGATTCTGGACAATCTTAACGACTCGACCACTGCGAGTGGATGTCAGACTGGACCTTGAGAAAAGGAGGATGGTTAGTTACCTTGTTAAAGTTGCCATCCCAGAGTTGGTTTCCTCATGTTTTCCCCAAGTTAGCAAGGAAGACCTAGGAGGCCAGATGACCCAGTTCTGGGCACAGCCTGGGCTTGGTGTCCCCTTACCCCATAGACACAGTGGAAAAGGACATGACCAACAACTTGGAAGGGCTGGGAGGCTACTGAAATCCTCTTTCAGCTTATTTCTGGTTAAGCTAATACATAGGTGTGGTATGAGCTAGAGGATTTTTCCCTGCTATGATGTTTGGTTTTATTTTTTTCTCTATTTCTCTAACTTGCATTGATTCTGCTTCGTTTTTGCCGTTTGCTGCTTCTGTTTTGGTCTCTTGTCTGTCTCTGTGTCTCTCTCTCTGTGTCTTTGAAGCTTAAGCTAAGACTGCCCCATCTAACCTCTTTCCCCCCTCTCTGTGGGGTGTGTCTCTTTCTCTTTTTTTCCCCTTTTCTTCTCTATACAGAGTTCGCTGCCTAAATCATTCAAGAGGAAGATCTCCGTTGTCTGTAAGTCTAGCCCCAAATCCCTGATAAAGACCAAGAATAGCATAAAAACCAGAGTTCACAGAGAAATAAATTCCCATTCTCTCTCAATGGCATTCTTGGGTCACCCACTCCTGCCTCATGATCTCCACACAGCAAATCTTCATCTTTTTGGCATATGTAGGGTTCCATTTGAAACTCAAAACAGACAATCCTTGCCATTTTTCCCCAGTCACATTTCTCAACTCTAGTGAGGTAGACTGAAATGCCTCACCATTTCTTATTTAGTCCTACATGTATTTAGTCTTTCAGGTGTCTGAATTCTCAAAACCAGGAGTGGGTTTGAGGGGATCCTATGTAATACTTACCAGTTTCTGCCTTATTCTAAGAGAGTTTCTGAGGAAAAGAGAGTGCCCCACACTTAAAACAGTAACATTTTTAATATGTTCCCAAATGAAAAACTCTAAATTGACAGAAGTGTAATAGATCTTTATAACTTAAATATCAATCTGTATTGTGAAAATTAACCTAAAGCATAATCAGATCACATCATGATCTTAATTAGATTTTAATATTATGGTTTTGTTTTTTCTTCATTACCATATCCTCCTCAATCTTTCTTCCCTAGAACTTTAGATATTTCTACCACTAAAAATTTAAACTGGTTGCTCTTGTTGCCTTCAGAGATTAGTAGCTTTCATTTGTCAGGAAGTGACTCCAGACCTTTTATTTTGAAGCATGGTTTCCCCAGTCCCCAGATATAAGTTCCTTAGGTTACCCTTTTACTAAAATTCCAATTGAAGGCTATCTGAGTGTTGTGTGAACCAGTAGAGGCCCTGAGACCATCTAACTTTTGGGTCCTGTTTCTTGGGAACAGCAGCTGCCAAAGGGGTGCCAGGTGGAAACAGTGACACAGAGGGGGGCCAGCCTTGTCGGAAGCGGCGTTGGGGAGCCAGCACGGCCACCACACAGAAGAAACCCTCCATCAGTATCACCACCGAGTCTCTCAAGGTGAGGTGGGAGGAGCCAGGGAAGGGAGGATGAGACACATTGAGGTGGGAGTAGACATGGGCCCAGTGTAACGGGGTGGGGGGTATCTGTGTCCCAGAGCCTCATCCCCGACATCAAACCCCTGGCGGGGCAGGAGGCTGTTGTGGATCTTCATGCTGATGACTCCCGAATCTCTGAGGATGAAACTGATCGCAACGGTGACGATGGGACCCATGACAAAGGGCTGAAAATATGCCGGACTGTTACTCAGGTAAGGCTCCTTCATCCCGGGGTTGAGGGAGGGATTAGTGGAGGCAAAGCAGGCAACCAAGGAGCTATGTTGGAATCTGCAGAGAGTTGGGTTAATCGGTCCTTTTAGGAATCCGTGGACTACTAAATCCAATCTGTTGCCTGTAATAAAGTTTTATTAGAACACAGTCGCACCAGTTCATGTACTCTTGTCTGTGGCTGCTCTGTGTTATAAATAAAGTCAGTTGAATAGTTGCAACAGAAACCATATGGGTCGCAAAGCCTAAAAATATTTACTGTCTTACCCTGTACAGAAGAAAATCTATGGAACTCCTGGCTAAGTTTTCCTCGTGACAGAGTTGAGGCATTAACAATCCCAAGATGTAGTGGAGGTGAACTTAATGATGAAAACTTCCCCTAGTGCCGTGGTCGGCAAACTGCGGCTCGCGAGCCACATGCGGCTCTTTGGCCCCTTGATGTGGTTCTTCCACAAAATACCACGGCCTGGGCAAGTCTATTTTGAAGAAGTGGCGTTAGAAGAAGTTTAAGTTTAAAAAATTTGGGTCTCAAAAGACATTTCAGTCATCGTACTGTTGATTTTTGGCTCTGTGGACTAAAGAGTTTGCCGACCGCTGTCCTAGTTTAAGACACATGCTGGGTTAACTGTACGGCCCGCTCTCACAGGAAACCAGAGCCTGAAAAGAATATGCTAGTGTTTAAGAATCCCTCTGCATCTGGTTCTTTATAGGTAGTACCTGCAGAGGGCCAGGAGAATGGGCAGAGGGAAGAAGAAGAAGAAGAAAAAGAGCCTGAAGCAGAACCCCCTGTACCTGCCCAGGTTTCAGTAGAGGTGGCCTTGCCGCCACCTGTGGAGCATGAAGTAAAGAAAGGTGGGTGAACCGCCAACAGTGGAACAGTGCAACTCCCCGAATTCCCAGAGCACTTTATTTGGACTTCTTTTAATGTTTTCCAGCTTTATATGGTATTTTATTTATCTGTCTTTCTCTGTCCCTCCTAAGTTATTAAGCTACTTGAGGGCTAGTTTTGATTCTGTATAATCTTTGAATCCCCTTAATGAGATTAGCCTAGACAATACCTGGCACATTATAGGTGCTCAACACAAATGTTTAGATGCAAGAGTAACTCCTGAGTCGGGAAAAGTCATGTTGCCCTGGTCCTTATGGCTCAGGTGGTTGAGTGTCGTCCCATGTACCAAAAGGTGGGCACATGCCTGGTTTGCAGGCTTGATCCCCAGTAGGGGGCATGCAGGAGGTAGCCAATTGATATTTATCACATCTATGTTTTCACTCTCCCTTCCTCTCTCTCAAAAAAAAAAAAATTCAACTCATGTTGTTCCCTACTGAAAACCATTTGTGTGCTCTATTTGTAGTGACTTTAGGAGATACTTTAACACGACGTTCCATTAGCCAGCAGAAGTCTGGAGTTTCCATTACAATTGATGATCCAGTCCGAACTGCTCAAGTGCCCTCCCCACCCCGGGGAAAGATCAGTAACATCGTGCACATCTCCAATTTGGTAAGTTATTTTTCCCACAGTGCAGCCTTGTTGGGTTTGTGCTTTGGTCTCCTACTTCTTAGGGTCAACTCCTAAAGAGACAGATTGAGCAAGTTACTTAACCCCACAATCTGTCTTTTCATCTGAAAAACCTTGCAGGGTTTTCTTAGAATTTGCAGAAGGGCTGGCATATAACGCCTTAGGGAGTGTTCGTATTCTTCTCACATTACTATCAGAGGATTCCTCACTTGTGCCCTTAGCAAACATTGTAGCTGTACCCCTGTGCCAGTGGCTCGGGAAATCTTGATATTCGTTATCTGAGTATTGTTCTTGCACTTTCATTGGCAGGTTCGTCCCTTCACTTTAGGCCAACTGAAGGAATTGTTGGGACGAACAGGAACTCTGGTGGAAGAGGCCTTCTGGATTGACAAGATCAAGTCTCATTGCTTTGTAACGGTGAGGAGCAGATGAAGCTCTAAGTTCTGGCATGTTTCTTGTGACCAGCGCGACGGGTTTGAGGGCCTTGTAGCAAGTGGTCGAGATTAAAGGCCTTTTATGACCCCTCTGCCTTCTCCCTCCCTCCACCAGTATTCCACAGTAGAAGAAGCAGTTGCTACTCGCACAGCTCTACATGGGGTCAAATGGCCCCAATCCAATCCCAAATTCCTCTGTGCCGACTACGCTGAGCAAGAGGAGGTAAGAAGCTGAGGTAAAGGCAGGGGAGGCCATCTTCTCCTGAGATTCCCTTCTCTCCCTCCTATTTGGTTTCTGTAGTGGAACCCTGGGCTCCGAAGCCTCTGTCCTCTGGTTCCTAGGCTGCTTCTGTGGGAGTGATGTCATCTCCATCCTGACTGTCCTTGTCCCTCCTCTACTCACAGCTGGATTATCACCGGGGCCTCTTAGTGGACCGTCCCTCTGAAACTAAGCCAGAGGAGCAAGGGGTACCACGGCCCCTGCACCCTCCGCCCCCGCCCCCAGCCCAGCCACCACAGCATCCCCGAGCAGAGCAGAGGGAGCAGGAGCGGGCAGTGCGGGAACAGTGGGCAGAGCGGGAACGGGAAATGGAGCGCCGGGAGCGAACTCGATCAGAGCGTGAATGGGATCGGGACAAAGTTCGAGAAGGGCCCCGTTCCCGATCACGGTCCCGTGACCGCCGCCGCAAGGAACGTGCGAAGTCCAAAGAAAAGAAGAGTGAGAAGAAAGGTACTTAGCTGTGGGGCACACATACCCACTGGTACATGGCAAAGGGACCCATGTGAGATGGGACTCGGGGGGGGGGGAGGGAGGGGGGGCTATGCATCAAGTCTGACTCATTGTCTTGCACCTCAGAAAAAGCTCAGGAGGAACCACCGGCCAAGCTTCTGGACGACCTTTTCCGCAAGACCAAGGCAGCTCCCTGCATCTACTGGCTCCCACTCACCGACAGCCAGGTGGGTGCTGGCCTTCCTGCCTGCTCAGAGCTGCAGCGAGGCTGGGGCCCAAGAAACAGCTCAGGGGAATAAGGGAGGAAATGGAGCATCCCGGAAAGAGGCAGTTTTAAAGAAACGTTGATGAGACTGCCCTATAGAGAAGCCAAACCTGAGAGGGTGGAGGGAGACACAAAGACAGGAACTGTGTGCACATATCCTAGGAAGCTGGCTGTACCCGTTGTGCTTCTTAAAATTAATTTCAGGTAGCAGAGAAATCTGTATATGTATAAACTCACCCATTTCTCTGTTTTAATATGTGGGGTTTTTGCTTTTTAAATTTGTTTCTTTGTAACAGCCCTTTTGGGTTTATGCCACTCAACTGAAGAGAAGAGAGATTTGTTCACTTATAGGCAGCTAGAGAAATACCAGAGGTCAGGTATGGATGGTGCCACTACCTGCTGTGAATGTAAGAGATAAACACTTGGAGGAACTGGGGTTCTGAGACAAGGACAAATGTCATGGCTGCACCTCCCCCCCCCCCCCCCCCCCCACACACACACACACACACTTCCTGCTTAACAGCAAAGCCAGCAGTGACCCTGAGCAAGGAGTGCCTGGTCTGGGTGCAAATAGACAAAAGCAGGACTGATGTGAGCTGGACTGAAATGCCTGTTGCCTTTCCTGCGGCTGCAGATTGTTCAGAAGGAGGCAGAGAGGGCTGAACGGGCCAAGGAGCGGGAGAAACGGCGGAAGGAGCAAGAAGAAGAAGAACAAAAGGAGCGGGAGAAGGAAGCAGAGCGGGAACGGAACCGACAGCTGGAGCGAGAGAAGCGGCGAGAGCACAGCCGAGAGCGGGACCGGGAGAGAGAGAGGGACCGGGAGCGTGACAGGGGGGAGCGTGACAGGGACAGAGACAGGGAAAGGGACCGGGAACGAGGCAGGGAGAGGGACCGCAGAGACACCAAGCGCCACAGCAGGAGCCGGAGTCGGAGCACACCTGTGCGGGACCGGGGTGGGCGCCGCTAGCTGGGAAAACAGTAGGGAGAGCTGCAGGCATCAGATGAGCCACCCTGCCCCGGGGTGGGGGCTCCAGGCCACGGAGGGATAGGTACAATCTCTTTCATGCCATTTGCCCAGTGCTGAAGTATGGCTGCCACCTGTCCCGCATACCAAATGGAGCAGTGGCCATCTTCCTCCCCTATACCCCATAACCTATCTCGGGATTTAGCCCTCCTCTCATTTCCCATGAAGTCTGTGAGAGGGAAGAGCTAGGTTAGAGAGGGAGGTGGAGGCCCAGAGTTGCGGCACAGCCAGGAGCCCCAGGCTTTTTCATTTTTTCTCCATCCTGTTCACCACCTCCTTTGGGTACTCACACCCCCTCTTGGGAACAGCTGGGGCCAGGACTGGGTCACCTATGAGCTGAATCAGCATCTCCTGAGTCCCAGGGCCCCCGCAGTTCCCAGTCTTTTCTGTCCTGCAGCCCTTGCCTTCTGCCCACCAGTTTCACTTTATATCCACCTTTTCCTTTTGTTCAATTTTTATTTTTATTTTTTTTTTATTATTAAATGATGTGGTCTATGGAAAATAATAAAAATCTGACTTAGTTTTAACTAGTGTGTGAGTGGCTTTCCTTGGGTAGGGCCCGGGTGACAGCCAAATTGTGGATTTTGGCTGGAGCCAGCATAGCTTTGTGCAGACTGCTGCTTCCCAGAACCGGATTAACCTCCCTCCCTGCCTTGGCTCTAACCACACCACAGGTTGGGGCTACCTCACTGCGGGGTAGAGGGAAGGCCCCGGAGTGCCGCCGGCGGCATTTTGGTCACCTGCTTTTCACCTTCAAGGTGCCTCCCACAACTGCCACCAGGGGGCGCAGCCGCCCGCTCGGTAGGCGCCTGTTAATGAGCTTCCCAAAAAGGCTCCACTCCCCACCTCCGTTCCCGCCAGTCTGGTGCCTTGCTTCCTGGGCCCAGCCCGTGGACTCCCTCGACCTCAATGCCATCCTGAAGCGCACATAGCAGGCTCGCTACCGTGTCCTGCACCAGCTCCCCAAATGCCGCCGCCTTACGGTAAGGGTCCATACCCGCCCCCCGAGGCCGGTGGTCCCCGCCAGCGTGCCCCTCCGCAGTGGCCCCTAACCTAAGTCCCCTCCTAGCCCCCAGGTCCCCCTATAGCCCCCTGTGGGGGGCATGCGGCCCCTCAGCACTCTCGGTGCACCCTCCCGCCTGCCCCGGGGACCTGGCCAGGACGTCCACCAAGTGCCCCGCAGCGGACCGGCGGGAGGGGCGGTGCATCTGTATGCGCCCCGCGGCCTGGCGGCGCCACCCCCGCCCCCGCGCGGCCGGGCTGGCCGGGGAGGGTCGGAGGCTGGGCTCCCCTCTCCCGCGCGGCTCGGAGCGGCCTCGCTCCTCCGCAGGCGGAGCCTCCTTCCCCCGCCCCCTCCGTCTCGCTCCCTTGTTCTCGCCGGGGCCGCTCAGACCTGCAGCGGAGCCGCGGCACCCGCTCCGATCGGCTCGGGCTGCGCCCCCGGGGCCGGCAGCGGGGGCGTGCGGGGTGCTCCCCGCCGGGCGGGGCCCTCCCACACCGCCAGGTAAGGGCCTGTCCTGGAGCCCGGGGTCGGGGATCGCGGAGGGGCAGCGGGGGGCCCGCAGTCTGCGGGTGTCTTCAGAGCAGTGCGCTCCGCGGCTGAGCCTGCCGCCGGCTCCCTTCTCCCGCGCTCTCCCTCTTCCTCGTCTCCCCTCGCACCTCCCGCCCGCTTTTCCCGTTTTCCTCTCCCTTGATGTCTCTTCTCTCTGCCAGTTTGCCATCTCTGCCCCTTCCCTGTCTCCCCAACCCTTCTCTCTCCTTCTTGACCTGTCTTTCCCCATCTCCACTTCCTCTGTGCCTTTTTCCTCCTCTGCCTTAGTCTCTCCTTTCCTGTCTCTCTCCTCTCTTTTCCCGCTCTCCTTTCCTTCCCGTTCTTTCCCGCTCCTCTCCCCTCCCCACTCTCCTGTTTCCCACTCTATTCCTTTCCTCCTCGTCCCACCTTCCTCTCTGGTCCCCGACTTCCCTTTTCCCTGGGGAGGGGAAGGATTATCAGGTGTGTGTCTGCTCCCAGGGAGGATGGAGGCAGCTGCAGCTACCTGCGGGGAACCCCCTTCCAGGACAGAGGGAGGAGATGGCCGGGGAGGGGTCCTCCCTCTAGCTCCCACCCTGAAGTCCCTCTGAGCCCCCCCCCCCCCACAATGAAGTTCAGGCGGCCTGCTCTGACCCCTGCAGCGGAGGCGGACCTGCCTGCCAATCACTCGCGGGAAGCCCCTCTGCCTCTTCCCCTCCATTCCCCAGCCGGGTACCTATGACTCTTGTCTGCCTTTCAGACACCAGGCAGCCTCCTCTGAGCTCTCCTTCGGTCTCACGGCCATTCTGTCTCTGTCTCTGCTGGACAGTCCAATCTTGGTTTCACCCTCAATCGCGCTGTGTCTCTTCCTCCTCCCTAGTCTACTGGCTCTGCCCCCAACTCTACCCCCTCTTTCTTCAGCTCTGCCCCCCCCCCCACCCCCACTCTGCCTCATAAGCCCAGGTCCCTTTCAAGGACTTCAGCCAGCAGTCTGGGCGAGGGGCAGGTTGCTGCTAGGGAGGGACTTCCAAGGGCTCTCAAGCCTGTTTCAGGCTGCGCTCCTCCTGATTTCAGCCTGACCCTAGACAGCTCCACGAATCCCAACCCCTGGGCGGTAAGCCTGTTCCAGGCGGTACCCATCTCCTCCAGCCCACAGCTTCATGACCAACATGGGGCTTCGAGCCCTCCCAGCACCCCCTTGCCTGTTTTCTTCCCCAGCTTCTCTATTCGGAATTGACTGGCTGGAGATTTATCAGCTTGGAGGGCTGGAGGTGAATACAGGCAGAGCCGGGTGGAGGGAAGGACCAGACTGTCTGCTCCCCGTCTTCGTCTGGGTTCTGGGCCGTGGGAGTCTGGTTCCATAGAGCATCGACCTCTGGTTTAGGGAGGGTGAAATGTTGCTTTGACCCTGAGCAGCTACCTGTCCTGCAGGTGTGGATCCATGGGATTGCCCCTCTGCCCTAGTCAGCTCATGCCTCAGCACCCGGGCACGGTGACCAGAGCCCTGCCTGGCTAGAGCCCAACCATGTGGGGCCTGGTGAGGCTCCTGCTGGCCTGGCTGGGCGGCTGGGGCTGCATGGGGCGCCTGGCAGCCCCAGCCCGGGCCTGGGAAGGGGCTCAGAGGGGCTCAGGACCGGCACTGCTGCGGACCCGAAGGAGCTGGGTGTGGAACCAGTTCTTTGTCATCGAGGAATATGCCGGACCAGAGCCCGTCCTCATCGGCAAGGTAAGGATCAGCCCTCCTGTGGCCACCTTGACTCCCAAGCCCTGCCCTGTAGCTTCATCATTTCTGCAATGACCTTCTGGTTCCCTCTGGACTCCTGACACTCCACTCAGTCCTAGACTCGGACTCTAACCGGCAGTTCCTGTGGGTGGACCCCGCTGCCATTTTCCTCTGACGCTTACAGCTGCACTCGGACGTGGATCGGGGCGAGGGCCGCACCAAGTACCTGCTGACCGGGGAGGGGGCAGGCACCGTGTTTGTGATTGACGAGGCCACAGGCAACATCCACGTCACCAAGAGCCTGGACCGGGAGGAGAAGGCCCAGTATGTGCTGCTGGCCCAAGCCGTGGATCGAGCCTCCAACCGCCCCCTGGAGCCCCCGTCAGAGTTCATCATCAAAGTGCAAGACATCAACGACAACCCCCCCATCTTCCCCCTCGGGCCCTACCACGCCACCGTCCCCGAGATGTCCAACGTCGGTGAGTACCCCACGTCCAAACACGCAGATCCCACCCCTTCCTCAGTCCTTCCCCTTGCTTTCTGCCCCCAAACCTTCAATTCAGGCCTGCTTGCCTCTGGGTTCCCCTCATCTGCTATTCTTCCCCTCCTGGCCCTGCCCCTGCTGAGTGGGGTGCTGGGATCCCCCACAGGGACGTCAGTCATCCAGGTGACGGCTCACGACGCCGATGACCCCAGCTACGGGAACAGCGCCAAGCTGGTGTACACCGTGCTGGACGGACTTCCTTTCTTCTCCGTGGACCCCCAGACCGGTGAGGACAGGGGTCAGCGGTGGTGGGGCAGCCAGGGGAGAGGCGCCCCTTGACCCAGTGTCTCCCCCTAGGAGTCGTGAGAACCGCCATCCCCAACATGGACCGGGAGACACAGGAGGAGTTCTTGGTGGTGATTCAGGCCAAGGACATGGGCGGCCACATGGGGGGGCTGTCGGGCAGCACTACGGTGACAGTCACCCTCAGCGATGTCAACGACAATCCCCCCAAGTTCCCTCAGAGTAAGGGGCCAGTGCTGCCACCACCGGAGCCATCCTTTGACCGCCCACCCCACTCCTCCCCCGGCCAGGCTCCGGAAGAAGGAAGTGCTGGGGGAGGGAGGAGGGTTGGGGATCTCTCTGAGAATGTCTCCCCTCCATCCACCCCCAAGGCCTGTACCAGTTCTCGGTGGTGGAGACAGCTGGGCCAGGCACTCTGGTGGGCCGGCTTCGGGCCCAGGACCCAGACCTGGGGGACAACGCCCTCATGGCATACAGCATCCTAGATGGGGAGGGGTCCGAGGCCTTCAGCATCAGCACGGACGCCCAAGGTCGAGATGGGCTCCTCACTGTCCGAAAGGTTAGCCTCTTGTCCGCTGACACTTGCAGAGTCACTCCTACCCACCTCCTGCCCCTGGGGACACTTCCCGCTGGTCTGGAGCAGACTCGGGAAGCTGTTAGAGCTCAGAAACCGTGGTCATCCCCTCAGCCTTCAGATGGAGGGCCTGGGGCTCAAGACTTCGTGTATCAGGGTCTGTGGTAGAGCTGCGGGTAGACCCAGAGTTACTCAGTCATTGCCCCCACCCCTTACCACCACGGCCACTGGCCCTCTCTGAGGCGAGCTGAGCACTGGGTGCTTCTGGGGAAGGACTCCTTGCTCTCCGGGAGCCTGGGCCTGCCCTGGCTTCTGCATGTCTCGGTCACTCCGCCTCCCCTGCCGTAGT